TTCTTTTTTTAACAGCTGCCTACATGCAGACATATGTAAGTGTGAAATAAGCAAAATGTATATCCGATTCCTGTGGGAAATAAATTATTTGTACAAACATAAAATCAATAATTTTTATTTTACTGCGTATAAAAGGTCAACTAATACAAAAATATATCTACGTTTTGATAAATCTTCGACTGATACCTATACATCCTATAAAATAAATACCTAGATACTAAATTTATTTTTAATTGAATGTCTTATTTAAATAAACATTACCCGCAATAATTCCCAAGAAATCGGTTTTACTGTAAATGTAATTTTTCTCTACATAACATTTTAATTTTATAAATTGCATTTTACTGTACTTAGAGTAATAAATAACTATTATTATTATTTTTCTTTTTAATAAAAATAAAACTTAACATTTTTTAGTTTTTCGTACAAATTAGGTACATAACTTGTAGTAGAAAAATGTAGTATACTTAAATGTTAACAATTGTATTAATCCACAAACGGTATCATTGATATTCTCTAAGAGTGACAATATTAAAAATGTTTCTTTACATTTAATTTAAAAATCTGTGAACTGTAAACAAAAAAATATATTATCATATTATATTCATGGAATTCATGTAGATTGTAGGTACCTACATAATGTGTTAAATAAATTATATTATAATACATATACATATAGTGTACGCATAAACATTATAGTGTATGCGTAAAGAATGTTCAATTGTCCTTATAAATTAATGTCTAAATCAAAATAATGCGCAGTCAAATATACAACGTTTATACGTTTATCTAGTTTTATATAGCTAAGTAATAATTTAAAGTTTGATTTTTTCTCTCTGAAAAGTATTCGTCGAAAAGTCGTGTAAGTAAGCCTTGTTGCTATAACAATGCAACCTATTATCTCAGTACAAAGCGTCACAAAATGATGAAAACACTACTGGCAACTCCAACGCACCAACCAACCCAACAAACAAAAATCTATCATAGATTTAGCCAAACAATAGTATATAAATACACTTCCGGTTCCGGAACTCAGCTTACGTCAAGACATAGTCATTACCGGGGCATGAATAAAATACACTTGCATTACTCATTTTTTCCTTATCAATAAAATTCTCCACCAATATTCATGTATATCATAACTAAACACATTGGGGAATACCCAAGATATAAGAATATAAGATATAAGAACCGACACGTATAACTCTTAAATCGCATAAAACGTATAAATCTCTCACGCAAATTTTAAAGAAAAATCACCTTTATCTTTAAATACGATCTACTTAACAAAATTTAATATTGAACAAAATAGTAGTGTTACATATATTTTACATATGATTAATATATGTTTAATATCTGTAATTAAACGTTATTACGTTAGTTGATAACCGTTGTTGTTGAATATTATAAATTCATATTTAAAAAAGATTGATATACTTCGCACAATGGATGAGCCACTGCTGTATGTGAAAAGTTGGGAAGGTAGGATATGGAGGGAAATTAAAGTACGAGGTGTGGCTATTAAAAAACGAGACTGGTTACGAAAAAGTGTTTTATTATAAAAGTTATTCTACATTCAAATGCTCCCCTTCAATATACTCCCCTCCCCTCTCTACACACCGTTTCATTCGTTTCTTCCATTGCTCGAGGCAGTGCTGGAAGTTTGTTTTCGTAAGACCATTCAGGAGTTCCGCCGATTTTTGTTTCACCTCTTCCATCGACTCAAACCGGAGTCCTTTTAAGACGGACTTTATCTTCGGAAACAAGTAAAAGTCGCAGGGTGCCAAGTCGGGTGAGTAAGACGCGTGTTCGAGTACTGGAGTGCCTTAAGCGGCCAAATAACGCTTCACGCTTTATCCTGGTGCAAGATCCACGACTTGTTTTTCCACAATATCGACCGTTTCTTACGAACTCATTCGCGCAATGTTACCAAAACTGTCAAATAGTAATGTTGGTTCACAGTTTGACCCNGAAAATAATTTATGCCACTCAAAAACACGCGCCCGAGATAGGAAATCCTCACTATAGGCCTCTTTTAACAACTTATAGCACTCAGTTGGAGTTTTTTTTTAGTTTAACGAGAAAATTGTACGTTTATCCGTTGCTCATGCTTTTCGTTACACATGGTTTTCGGCACGAGAAAAAAACACGTTCGTTTCAAACCACTACTGCACAAATACTATAATAGTGACGAAAACGTGTTTTAGTACGTGCATAGATAAGATATCTAGATATCCAACGCATTACTCGTTTTTTTCACTACCCATCTAGGGCGCCCACTAGGCGAGCAGTCTCGTTATTTAATAGCCACACCTCGTATATTTGTAAGCAACGATAAATTATTGCTAACGAAAAACGATTTTGAATAGAGTCCAGTTATACATAATTTGTACGGCTGTTTTTTCAAAACTTGATCTTAAAACAAATATACAAAAAAGAGCTAATACTGACTAGTTCTCTGTTGTAGGTAAATTAGGATACATAACGTTATAATTTATACCTGCAGTAAGCAACTATAGCTAACGAAAAACAATTTTCGTCAAAATTTGATTTTAAAATTATTTTTAAAAAAAAATACTACATGTTTATATAATTTTTGTAAAAATGTCAAATTTCTACAAATATGGTTAACTAGATTACAACAAAAAAAAACAAAATTTAAAATAATAAAAGCATTATTTTCGTAAATTTTCCAATTCTATCTACGTTTTTCATAGGTTTTGCTCAATGATTAATAAAACTACAAACAAAATCAAAAACCAACTTTCTTATTCATAAAATAAGATTCAAAATACAACAAAAAAGGTCTCTTGCCACTTTTTGATTAAAAGACTATGTCTGGTAAAAAACTTTGCGTAAAATTAAAAATAATTAAAACAATTGTTGTAAATTTATCAATTTTATCTTTTCATCTTCTTCCAGTTTTTCCCAATTATTATGAAAAGTGCTTAATAAATCAAAAAATAACTTGTTTCTTCAGCAATGTGATTCAAAATTAAATAAAATAAAAATTATACGCCATACTATAATATTACTGATAGTAAGTTTCCAACAAAACCCCTCAAATAAATATACAATATTTTACTAGTATAATAATTATTAATTTATGTAAACATAAAATTCTGTTTGGCTACCACGATCAACCGGAGTTTCCCGAAAACCGACCTTTGCAGTTAGAATGTTTGATCCCCGAAGTTAACTCTGAGTTTAGGTTTAGGTTTACTATTTAAACGGGATTTTCTCTGATGTTTTGTACGTTTGGACCTCTATAGATAAACTATTGATCAAACTAACGGCTGTTTGAATGCTCTACTACTTTTCAAAAAAACTGTCTATTCGACACGTTTCTTTAATTTTTCTATTTTTTTTTTTTTTTTGGCTTTAAAAATAACATCTTTTTAAATAAGGTACTTTACTATTGTAATAGGTATCCCTGTCTGAAAACTATAATCAAAATCTTTTCACATTATTTAAATATTGTAATATACCCAACAATAGTGAGGAGTTTATCTGGAAGTCCAGGAGGTCTTTACTCCTCCCCTCCTCAAACATTGATATAATTCAAATAAGATGGCGTCTCAAAAAGAGGTATCTAATAATAGATATCTTTGAAGAATATATGATTTATTAGAACCCCTTATAGAAAAATGTTGAAAACCCGCCACTGCCTCACAAAAATATTAAATGATTTATACTCGGTCCTTCATTAATATAAAGTTCATACAAACATTTTACTGTTAATCGAACTTGTGCTATTGTTAAATTTAGTGTACCTATATGCACAATTGCACAGTTGTATATGTTAACATAATATAACAATTGACATTGTCCTCGAAGCCTCGACAATATAGTAAAATTATCTCGTTCAATTTAACTACATATTCCGTTTTAAAGTAATAAAGTGATATGTACATACAATTTATGTTGTTTAATAATACTTAATGTAACAAGTAATAAATTAATATTTTAAGAACCAAATGTACGTTTTAATTTACCAACATGGAGTGTATTATTTATTTTTTAAAGCTCGGTGGAACATACATAAATAAAATATAAGTAATTTTTTAAAATTTAAAAAATGTTAAACACACAAAAAATATGTTTTATGGTACCCTATATTTTTTTATTTAGTTCTAGAAAATGATATCCTATCATTATGTCATAGTATGGTACTTTTTCAAATTTTAGATAATGTGCCTTTTTTCATTTTGGATAATGCTTTAAGTCTCAAGAACTACAAAATAAAGTTGGACTAATATTTGAATAACTTATAGATCTTATAAAAGGTGATATTAAAATAGGAGAAATAAAATATAATAGAAAAGAGTCATAAAAAAGAAGAAGAAAAAGCATCATAAAAGACTGTGGGTTCATCAAATGAATGAAAACAAAAGGGCAGAAAGACTTCGCCAAGAATCGTTTTTTCATTAGTAATAATAAATAATATATCATTTTTATATAGATAAAATATATCAATTAATATATTAATATAATATAATCTGTTATAGTAAAATTGTATAGGTAATATATGTATTTCTTTTCCTTTCAATAAACTCTACACAAAAAATCGTGTACATAAAATAATTTTACAATTTAATACAACAGATCTATAATTATAATAGAATAATAATATATATATAATATAATTATAAAAGTGTAAAAACGCTAAGGAAAAAAATTTGGTCTGTTTCATTCTTTTCTGACGTAATAGTTCCAAATCGATTCAAACTATTGTGTGGATCGTTTCGACCCAAATGGATTTCACCAAAATCCAAATGAAACTTTCTCAAGTATGCCTCTTTGATAAATTGTATTTTAGTGCTACAAAAACGAATTTCAATACCGTAAGAATAGGTATTTGCATTTTCTAGGTTACAAGTTAAAAAAAAAAACTACATCTTCGTGTTTCATGTATCATATTTATTATTCTGATTATTTATTCAATATAAATCACAATATAATATATTTATATACTGTATAGAGAGAGATAATAAAATGTCATATGATTTGCATATTCGCATTATATTATCACCTTATAACAATTTTGAAGAAAAAAATTATACCCGTATAGTATTTTACAAACGTATATCTACAAATAATATACAATATATTATATATTATAAGATAGGTATTGATACTTTCTTCGACGAATTTTAAATAACAAGTATGCATATGTAAAGATGTGTATAATCAATTGCAATAATGTTGTCCTAGAAAAAACGTTAATTTTTTAATTTTTAACTATTAATTTCACTATAATTACCGTATTATATGTAGAATTGTATTAATGTTCGTATTAATTTACCTGTCAGTATTACATTCATCCAATGCATATTGATGGTGGTCGCCAGTCTGGTTTGAACGGAAGGCTTCGAGTCAGCACAGACAAACCTGTTGCTGACCACTCCGATAACGTTTAGTTTTCCCGTAGCTGGATCGGACCAAAGTATAGGACCACCCGAATCCACTTGACATGAATTGACTTTAGTGAAGTGCGTGCACAACTGATCTCTTTCCGTTTCGCTTTTATACGTTCCTGTCATGCATTGAGACATTGGCACCACCTTGAGATACGATCTCTGAAGGGAACCGGAAACGGAACCTTCAAAGTTCACGCTGCCCCAACCTATTTGTACAAACAAGCGATGCGGTTCGTCGAATCAAAACGAATATCGTAACAATGCGCACGAAGTAGTAAATGCTTACCAAGAACTTTGACAGTGTCACCGACAAAATCGTTATTGGTGTGCTTGAATGGTAGACAAGCTGGTCCGACCTTGGCCGAAAAAGGGATTTCTTCATGTGTTTCTACGATGGCCAAGTCGTATGAGACCGACGACGGGTCATACAACGGATGAATATAAATTTCGGTGACTACTACCAATATTGCCGGGTCACTACCTGAAATCAGTACGTATACAATTATTACAAGGTTGGAATTTCAAAAACTAGTCAAAATTTTATAAATATGACGTGCTAATCAATTATCAAAGGTTTTTGAAACTTAAGTTCTTCGCTTTATCCATCCAAAAGTTTATTCATTTTTGATAGATGAACAACACGGATTTCAGCCAGGCCGATCAACTGTTACTTGCAATATTATATTCATCATATTTTTTTATTTTTGAATCATTTGTTCAGCATTCTCAAGTGAACACTATCTACACTGACTTCTCAAAGGTTTTTGAATGAGTAAACCATGATATTCTTGTCAAGATTCTATCTGACTCTAGTTTTGGTAAACCTATTCTCTCATGCTTCTCATTCTAGCTATCAATTCGAAAGGAATATGTAAAACTACTTGATAGTACTTCTAACATCATCACCCCCTCATCTGGTATATCTCAGGGTGCCATACTTCATGCTCACCTTCTTATGTTTACTAATGATATAAATCTATATATGCGTATTCAAAATACCTATGATGCCCTTCTTCTCCAATCGAATCTTGACCGATTGGTACATTGGGATGAATCTCTGGGGTTTATACTTAATATCTCTAAATGTATCAAGGTGTCTTACTTTCATATTAACAATTCAATTATATTCGATTATACCATCCATGATATTTCAATCGCTTCTTTCAACTTTGTTCATGACCTAGATTTTCATTTTTCTTTAAACCTATCCCCAAAATTGCATATTTAGGAGATTTGTTGTAAAGCATTTAAAATCATTAGATTTATCCGGCGTATTTTCTCTCAGTTGGACCACTCATTATAAATCCTTTATTGCTCTTTAGTCCTACCTATTCTTGAGTACGGATACGTTCTTTGGGACTCTCGTTCATCTATAGATGCCATAGCGATTGAAAGGGTTCAACGAAAATTCCTATCCTTTGCTGCTTATCCTTCAAAGGTTCATTGTCAAATTTACGATTATAAAATTATCCGCAAAATTTTAAATTTATCAAGCCTCCCTGATCGAGGGCGCTCTGCGACTACATTATTTCTTTCTAAATTTCTATCAAATAAATCGACTGACATGCACTCTTTTCAGGAATACATTTTAAAGTTTCCCCTCGTAATACTAGATCTACGTGTCCCTTTATTATTCTCTTTTCTCCGTCTAATTATATAATGAACTCACTTACTACCATATTATGCATCTTGCTAATGAAGATCCCACTTTTAACTACCCATAAACTATTTATCAACTGGATCTTTTATTGCTGCTACTATTCTTTATTGTTTATATAATATAATATAATATAATATAATATACACTTTATGTATTTGGGACTAGGCCTGTATTGATATAAAAATAAAATATTTTATAATCGGTAATGGATTTCATGTCAAATTATATTATTTTATGATTATTTATTTATGAGTTTATCATTTCACATACTCTAATTTAATACAAAAAAATATTAATTACAAGAATTATTAAGTTAAATCTGACCTGTGAAATAGTTTTTAATACATATAAAACATGTATATAAATAAAAATATAAAAAACCTGAGTGATAAAAAAGTTATTTTTGTATAGTTTACGATTTTGTGGATGTATTATGCAAGACCTTGCAAAATAGTTTTTTGAGAGAAAAGCGATTGGCTTTTTGAACAAAGATTAATCAGGGAAACAAATCCTTTTCAAAATACAAATAGGTTTTGAAATTGCAGGTCGATTGAAATAGATTTTTTAATGGAATTTAGACAAATTATTATATCGCCGACGTTCATTCAAATGAAGTACTGGCAATTTCTTCGGAAATGAAAAAATGTTCAGCTATTCTATAGAAGAGAAACGACGAAGACAATATCCGATTGCCTTGTTATAAATTGTATAGGTAAAGTATATAAGTAGAATATATAAAAAGCACTGTTATTAATATTCCTTAGAAACAATTTACTTTTAACAGTAATCCTATTCCGAATAATAAATGTATTATTATTGAAACAGATTCACCTATATGTTTTAATAATTGTATACAAAAAATAACACTGTTGTAGTAGGGAAGTTGAGAAGGTAAGATACATAAATTTATTTAATTTATATCTGCAAGCAACTAAAATATTGCTAACGAAAAACAATTCTGAGCGAAATTCGATTTTAATAAATTATGACAATCTCAAAATATGTACAATTTTGTAATCATGAACCTTATCTGAACTTCCCTCTCAAAATGTTTTCTTGTCTACATGCTTTAGTTCTCTGTGTATGTTGATGGATAAAACTGCATTGAAAATAAATATCTATTACCATAAATGAGATATAATTGCAGTTTTAATATAGTCTAGATATAAAATATTTAATTTTAATCATATCGTAAATATTATTGGCGTATCTGTTATTTTAAAGAAAAATGGTCATTGTAAATTAATTATTAGTGAATACAAATGAAATAATTATTTTGTGACATAAACTATTAAAACATTTAAAAACTGTTAGTTAAATAATAATTTTAACTTTAACAGGACTCTATAAAATTTAAAAATAATATTTATACTACTAAGAGGTGTGCCACTGTTGTAGGAGGAGCATTGGAAAGGTAGGATATATAAATTAATTTTATATATATTAATGATTTTTGTTTTACCTACCGCTAAGAACAACTTATGATAAACCTTGTGTTAAATTTTTAAACATTTCGACTAGACAAAACTAATATAAAATTTATGTTAAGATGATCGGAGCAAGATTACTGGCAAAAAAAAAAAAAAGGTAAGAAAATTGAGACGGGTGCAAACACTAATATAGGTGGGAAGTTGGGAAGGTAGGATACAGACGGGAATTTAATGTATATCTGTAAGCAAAGATAAACCATTGCTAACAAAAAAAAGGTTCTGAGCGAAGTTCAATTGATAGTGATGCTTTTTCAACAATATATATGCCATATTATAGTAAAATAATTAAATAGGCTCTATATATTTTCTTTAATAGTATTTGTTTAATATTGTACAGATTTCCCCGGTTTTTCTACGTTTCTCCCAGTTTTTACATTTGCTGAGAAACTTATGGGAAAAATGGAAAAACGAACTCTCTAAAGTACCTTCCTAATGAAATTTCCTTTCAGAAACATTGCTATCATAAGAAGTTGGTGCAAAATTGTTAGTAGAAAAGTCAACAGTTTGTTATATTTCGTAAATTTCTCAGTTTTTTTTTTTTCGGTTTTTTGCATTTAATAAGAAAACTCTTGAGAAAATAGAAAAATGTCTTATTTAAGGTAACTCTCTACATCGATTTCCTTTCAGAAAAGTTACTACATGTAAAAATTTGAATAAGTTTTCTGGTAGAAAAGTTGTCTACAGAAAAAAAAAAAAATAAATATAAACAGCTTTGTAAAACTATAAGCTTCTTCACACCTCTCAGAATCTAAAAGTTATTTGAAGGTAGGACTAATTTAAAAATTTAAAAACCTACATCAGATTAAAATCATTAAACATTTCAGCAGGTCTACACCCACCCATGATCAATATTGATTTTCTTAATATTCAAATGATCAATTATAATTTTTATACAATTTTAAATATTTCATTATAATTTGAATAATTTTATATTTAAGGACAAGAAAAAATATATACCAGTTTATGTTCCCCTGTAAATTTAAATTTATTTCAAGTAAACTTTATCAAATTAAGACTATAAAATGTATTTCTCAAACTCTTATATTAATTAGCATTCATTATTTAAACTTTAAATAAAAACTATTACATAATTTACTATATCAGTTTGGTAAATTGTTTCATTTGTAAATTGTATAAATGTGTTCATAAAACTGAATTTTATTTTTAAACTTATCATTCTATCAGAATATAGATATATATAGCTTAGTGAATTGCTTTAGTCATACTATTGTAAAATAATTACATATGCGTTATGGATATTTGTTTAATAATGTGCCTATTTTTCTACTTTTTCCCATCGTTTTTACCATTTTTTATTTTTTTTTTTTATCCAATTTTAAAAACTAATATTTATAATAAAATGTAAAAAAATAAATAAAATTAAAGTTTTTTTTATTTAGGTATTATATCAGTAATAACTTTAATTTATATTTATATTATTTGTATTATTAGTACGTACTATGAAATTTATCGTTGTTTTATTTGTTTAATCCGAACTCCGAAGAGTTTGACGTAAACAATTTTAAAATAAATATTTACCTTAAGTGAGTTTAAATATTTATTGTATTTACTAAATAATAATTATTATATGTATTATTGTACATCTAAAAATTTTAGGTTTCCAAAAAAATGAAACGTCCCTCGAAATACCCCGGGCCTTTTTATCTCAGTTCACCATTGAATTAATAATATTAGCAAATTAAACAACTAAACAATTAAACGTCTAGGCCCGTCTAGACAGATTGAAAACTCTTAGATTCAACTTTCAATTTCTACCCCTATCAATTTTATGGTCAAATTTAATCATTATTTAGTAGTAGTATAAATTGTATTATTATTATTATAGTTTTCGATAATTTATTGAATTATATAGAATATTTATTTTATAGAAAATGGATTGGGAAAAATTTGATTCTGCTCGGCTGCTCGCGGGTGTTTTTCTTGTTATTCATGCATCGATATCAAGTATACCAACTCATACCAGAGCCCATGGTGATCATATAAACAAACAATAAATTATACACTTGACACTTACCAAGACTAGTCATATCGTGGTCGCCGACCAAAAGGGCAATTTGAACCGGATTAATATTGGTCAAACAGCGCGCAGCAGTCAATGCGTGATGTCTGCCGATGACCGTTGCACCGCAAAACAGGTTGGTCGTTTGCCCGTCGATCAGCGAGGCCATCAACGGGAACTCATTCACGCCGGCCGTCTTATCGTCCACGAATATTCCCTGTGAACATAAAAGTTAAACGTATAATATTCGTATGGTTACTATTATTGTTAGATTCTACGCGTAATAGGTAGTAATATATTGTATTGGTTTTACTATGATATTGTGTATTTTTTTTTTTCTGTCCGCAACTTTTCTACTAGAATTATTGTTATTATTATCATACGTCAAGGGTGGTTTCTGATAGCAAAGTTTGTCTACTAAGGTTATTTTATATATTTAAAATGAAAATATTTACGCAATAACGATAACTATTATTTTTGATTTGGTTTTTTTTTTTTTTGTAATTCAGTGAAAAACAATTGTAGATAGCTAAAACTTAAACCGCATTTTTAGATGCGCTACTATTTCCAAAATCTGTTTTTTTAATTTTTCTCGTTTAGCCTGTAAGCTAATAACCATTTAATCTTTTAGCTCCTAAAACTAAACATTTTCGTCTTTTTCAGTCATGATATAAGTCTACCATTAAGTTCTAATGTTCCGAGTATCAATTCTAAAATCGTGCAATCCGAGCCACTTCCTAGATTATTTATCTAGATCACTGTTCCGAAGTTTTCGTTTTAGTTTCTTAACAATGTGTTTCTTACAATGATGAGTTGTTAGCCCATCACTTAAACTACAAGTCCTCCAGTCTAAAGGACCAAATTACCCAAGTCAATTAAGACCAAGTCAGGGCTACTGCAATGTACCATATTTTTTCGGAATAATCAAAATTATAATACGTAATTATTGATTACATTTTTTTTTATTGTCAAAGATTTACATATTACATGTAATTAGGTACCTGATACTGTTTACCGCACTCGCAATACCGCGAATTTTTTACAGCTTCCGGTATCCAATAGTCCACGCGTTTTGCACCCACCGAACACATAAACTTTCCACCCTTACCTTGGAGCCTCGACACGAACTTGACGTTCATTTTGTTTGTACGGCTGACCGTTGTGAACGACCTGGGCCCACAGTGCCTGACACCATCAGTGAAGTCTGCGTCACCGACCCGGGACACGATTAACGCGTCTGATTCGCAAAATTTACTCTGAAAAAAAACAATATGTCAATCAGAGACGATTCCCCATTTGTTTTTTACTGGACGACTAGAACTCGAATATAAGCTAGAATATTAATTTGTTGTTAATAAAATATACGGAGTGTGTTCAAAGATTCGGCAGTTCTCAAAACATATTATTATCAACATAAAATAAAAAGTTCACTAGTAGGTACATGACACTAGCAGATCTCAGCGTAGTAAGCGGAGTTTGTTTTGTTTTATACATTATTACCGACCTCGACTGAATTCGGAGTGAAGCGTAGGTATAGGATTAGTTCATTTAATTTTTATACTAAAACCAACGATGAAACATTGCAATTAAAAAACGATGCTGAATAAAGTATTAACCGTTAAAGGTATTTTTTTTTTTTACAAATAAAGTACTACAAGACGAAAAACCCACATCTTTTAAGGTGTGGCACAGGACTATAACAGCTTCTTCGCTCTACTCAGAATCTAAAAGCGTACGCTTAAATAATTTAATCAAACGCGTGCGTGTAAGTATAATATAATGGGTAAAACACGATTGCGTATGTTTGTTATTGGCGATACCTTTTTAAGCTACAGGCTTACGTACGTTTTTACCGACACAATTGCGTAGGTACGAAGTGTTAAGCGTTGTTGTCATACCAGTATATATGATGAGTACCAAATCCATACAAATTTAATCCAATATTTAAAAGTGGTAGGTTATAGATGTCAGGGAATTCAAATTTAAATTTAAATTTATTTAATTTAAAATAATTAATTTAGTCATTCTCATTACCTATATTTTATTATTTTATATTAATTATTATAAAAATGAACAGGATATTTTTTAGGTATGTGGTAAAATTAATAAATTTCACAACGTTGCATACAATTTCATATGCAATCAGATATATTTTTCGATTCCGAGCCTAGTGAGAGAGCTATTGGTTTTACTAAGATGTTTATTTTTTTATTTTTTTTTTCTAGTCTGTGGACACGTTTTTTCCTAGTAAACTTGTTACGATTTTTACGTGTAGCGACTTTTCAATTTTTCTAAAAGCTCATGTTGTCTAGATTGTACTTTAAAAAAGCAATTTTTTGATTTTCGACTCCATTTTTTAAATAAAAGCACTTAAGTAGAAAAAAAAGTAGGAAAACGTACAACTTCACAGTTTCATTATTTTATAAAAACACGGACGACGTTTTCAACCAAAAAAATGATTCAATCGAAAAATCACAGGATACCTTTTTTGTTGCTTTTTTGATTTAGTTTCTTACGGTATCACCGCCAAAAATTTTGAGCTTTAATTTTAATTTTTGGGAGTTTTTTTTTCCGTAATTCGGTTATAAATACACGTAGATAATTTAAACTTGATAATATTTATATTGGACTTAACTATACGTGGTAAAATTTCCAAAATTATCGTTGCTTACAGATGTAAATGAAATAACCTTATGTATCCTACATTCCCAACTTCTCACCAACAACAGTGGCCGCTTCCAACCCCAGTATCGGCTCTTTTTTTCTTAAAGGTGTTTTTTTTTTCAACCCAACTACAAACGCACGCAATCGTGTTCTACCCATTGAAATATACCTCGGGCAAGTCAAACTCGTGGCAGTCCAACACCAAACGGTCCGTAGGCGAAGACGTCTTGGCGAACCACCGGCAGTCGAAATTCTGTGGTTGGTCGGCCGCTTGGTACGGGTCCGGATAGCCGGGCGAGTACAGGTAATAGGACTTGTTACCGGGTTCGACGAGTTGATAGTATTCGCAGGGGCCGCCATCCGAACGGTAATAGTCGTCGAACGCGATGCGGTCCGGTGCCGCGGCGGCGGCGTCGGTCGTCGCGTGGTACGGAACATAGGACGGCCGCAAAATAATCAGTAACGCGCCGTACAAGAACCGCGGTAACGGTTGCTGCGGGGCGGCGAACCTCATTTTCGTCGTCCGTGCGGTGCGTGTACGCGACGCGTGCCTACACGTTTTTGTCAAAATGTCCCGATATTATAGTGCGCCCGGCGCCGGTACGCCGATAATACGCAAGCGATATTCTATTCTACTCGCGGCGATGACCGGAAAACCGGCGCGCGGGAAACTAAATAACGTGCTGTAATAATAGCGCGTTATCTCGTACGTAGGTATACGGCCGCAGCAGGAGGGTGGAGATAATGACTCCGCGGCGCATAATAATAACTGTGCGGTTAATTGGGGAATACAACCGGCCGCCGTGCGTCGTCGCCGTTCGATTTTCAGAAAAACAAAAAAAAACCCCTCGCAGCGTTCCGAGACAATCGGCGCGGGCGCGCATTATAATATTATACGCGTACATTTTAATTAGACCGCCGTCGCCGCGATAAAATAGCGTAAGCAACGTTTCTATCCGCACGCCGCCGCCGCCGGCCGGAACCGCTGTGCGAGCAATAGGCGCCTGCGTTAGGTTCGGGCGGTGCGACTGGTATGGACGAACAATAAAACGAGCAGACAACAGAATATGTTCGTATATTATTAGGCGTAAATCAAAACAAAGCATCGCCGTCCCCGTTTACGTACCGCGTGCCAACGCTGACGATAGGTCCGATGCCGTTCGGTTGCACATACTATTACAATTGTACATATACTATTTGCTGGTGTATGGGTTAATATTATTGTTATTATTTCACAAAAAATGCATAAACTAACAAACTAACGCGCTGTTAGTTTGGCAATAGTCGCCCAATAGTCACTCTGACTATTAGAGTATTGGTTTAATAGTAGCAAAAACTGAAAATAATTGATTACCACCCTATAAGGACAAAACGTCGGGAGAAATTGGAAAATGTATGCAATAACGGTTGATTATTTTAGATTCTGAGTAGAACGAAGATGTTTATGGATTTACAAAGATGTTTGTTTTTTTAATGCGCAACTTTTCTACCAGCAATCTTGCTCCGATTTTTAAGTGTAGTACCTTTTTCGAAAGGAAATCGGTTTGGAAAAGTACTTAAAGGGGATTATTTTTCGATTTTCTTAAGAGTTTTCTCATCAAATGTGAAAAACGGAGGAAAACGGGAAAATGTATGAAATATTTTACTAAAATATCAATATATTAAATAATATACTAAATATATTTATTTTTTTCTGTAGACAACTTTTTTAACAGAAATTTCGCTCTAATTTATAACGATAGCACCTTTCTGAAAGAAAATCTGACTGGGAAGGTACTTTTGAAAGGTCATTTTTCGATTCTTTTAGGAATTCCCAGGAAATGTGAAAAACCGAGAAAACGGTACAACATTAAACAAATATTATTAATGAAAATATATAGAACCTATTTAATTATTTTACTATAATATGGCAAGTATATAATATATATGCTATATTGTTCTAATCATTTTACCATAATATGACATATATTGTTGACAAAGCATTACTATCAACTGATCTCCACTCAGAATCGTTTTTTCGTGAGCAATGGTTTATCGTAGCTTCAGGTATACATCAAATTACCTATAATAGTGGTAACACCCGACCCCATTATCCTAGGACGTCTTTTTATATTGTTATTCAGTTTTCGAGTTTTTTATTTTTATACATTTTTTTAATGGGTTTTATGTAGACAAAATTGTTTTGGTTTCTCAAAAATGATCGAAAATGTTATATAAGGTTCATTAAAAGTTATTCTTTTGATACTACGCAAATATCGAAAATAAGTCTCAAGATCTAGAAAAAGCATAAATAAGTTTTTTTTTCAAAATTTCAAGTCTACGAATATTTTTAACTTAATTAAAAATTAAAAAGAAAGAGCTGATACTGGGGATGGAATCGGCCACTGTTGTAGATGAAAAGTTGGGAAGGTAGGATACCTACCTTCCTAGTTATTTAATTTACATCTGTAAACAACGATAAACCATTGCTTGACGGAAGACGATTTCGAGCGCAATTCAGTAATACATAATATTTGCGATTTTTGTTTAAATTTGATTTCAAAACGCTTATTAAAAAAAGAAGTCCGATGATTTTGGAAATTTTACCACGTTTAGTTAAGTCCAATATAAGTATTATTACCAAATTTCAAGTCTCTACGTGTATTTATAACCAAATTACGGCAAAAGAAACTCCCAAAACTCAAAAGTGGCTCAACAATTTTGGCGATGACACCATAAGAAAGTAAATTTAAAAAAGTAACAAAAAAGGTATTTAGTGATTTTTCAATTGAATCACTTTTTCTGATAGAAAACGTCGTCCGTGTTTTTTATGAAATTGTACGTTTTCCTGCGTTTTTTCTACATAAGTGCTTTCATTTAAAAAATGGAGTCGAAAATCAAAAAATGACTTTTTTAAAGTACAATCTTTGAAGTTGAAAAGTTACTATACGTGAAAATCGGAACAAGTTGACTAGAAAAAACGTGTTCACAGACTTGAAGAAAGAAAAAAAAAACATCTTAGTAAAACTAATTGCTCCCTCACTAGGCTCGGAATCTAAAACAAAATTTTAAATAATAAAAACATTATTATCGTAAATTTCCCTATTCTTTCTATGTATTTTTTAAATTTTACTTAATTATTAGGAATACTAATTAGAAAACCAAAAAACGAATTTTATACTCTAAAACTACATTAAAAGTGCAACAATAAAAATTTCTTATTATAAGTACTTAAATATACCTTATTCTATTGGATTTTTTTTGTACGGAATCCAATTACTTTTAATTTCTTTAGTATTTACGGTAAACAAATTCCCAATTACCTACCGTTTTCCCACGACTCACAAATAATATTATAAATTATTATTAGAACTATAGAGGCGTGCATTATACTATTAAAATGTGACCTACGTACAAATGCGAGAAAATTAAAATAAATCGATTGATGACTAATATTCATTTCACACGTTCGATTTTATCGGAAAATTATACAATATTCTCGCGAAGTTTTTACACTGTAAAGTTTATATTATATATATATATATATATATATTTTTTTTTGCAATCCGTTATCATAAATTATATTACATGGGTTCATTTATCAAATCTGACGTTAGCGTATAAACATAATAAAACATAATAATTCAAACTTTTGCTTGGATATTTTTTTTTTCCTTAAACATTGATCCTTCGAACGCCGTCATCAGGATCACTTATATGACTCAAAAATTATCAGATTAATATTCTAAAAAATGGGTCTCACCTCACAGATGCCCCCGTTAATCCATATTATGTTCATTAACAACTATTGAAAATCCACCTCGTTACAATAAATTGCACCATAAAATAATCTTTATAAAAAGTGTCCACCCTAAAGTACCATCTATAGACAATATTTCCTTTCAGAAATGCTGCCACGGGTACACATCGGACCAAGGTTTTTGGTTTATACACAGTATAAAAGAATTTGAAAAATAAACATCTTTGTAAAACCAATTACATGTTTCGCTATACTAAGGATATAAAAATAATCAACAATTTATTTTGTATAATTACTAATAATATATAGGTAATATATACAGAAAAAAAAAAATTGATCTTGTCTTATCCCTCAGAAAATACCATTTTACACCCCCAAGGATAATTACCCCCCAGGTAGAGAACCCCTGATCTAATTAATATATTGTATTTTCGAAATGAGTTCCCGGTGCGTTACTGTGTTCGCTGACGGGTATGCGTCCCGGAAATTATACAACAAAACGTCGGAGTTTCTAGCACAAAACGGGGTCTTGTTAAAATAACAATATGACAAATGAAATCCCTGAACAGTCGTTTCCAGGAAACCTTACTCACGTAAACGTATAATATATTATTATTAGACTGCCCCAACAAACGCCAGTCTTCCAGACAACTGCAGCTTTACTCTTCTACACGTGAAAACTTGATCGCTTAACATTCAATAATGTATTCACTCAAGTATAATTACTTACACAGAGTAGCCTTCTAAAAAGTGTAGAAAAAAAAAATTCGGTTTAAAAAAAAAAAAGGACATACTTCGTATGTAGACGGACTGCTGTTGTAAATTGTAGGTAAGAAATTAGGAAGTTAGAGTAGAAATTTAATATAAATATGTACGAAACGATTAACTATTGCTTACAGAAAACGATTCTGAGCGGAAATCGGTTAATAGTGTTGCTTTGTCAACTATTCATGGCATATTATGATAAAATAATATTACATATGCATTACATATTTCCTTTAATAATATTTGTTTAATATTGTTTCTATTTTTCCGTTTTTCCACGTTTATTATGAAAACAGCTGGCAAAATTAAAAAGTGATCTTCCTAAAGTACAATCTCAGTCAAATTTCCTTTCTAAAAAAGTGCTATCATTGTAAATCGGAGCGAAATTGCTGGTAAAAAAGTTGTTCACAAAAAATTATTGTAATATTTTACTAAAACATTTCGTACGTTTACCTATTTTTTCTGGTTTTTTCAATTCATTGAGAAAACTCCTAGAAATCCAAAAAAATAAAAATAAACATCATTGTAAAACCATGAGCTTCTTCACTTCACTTGGAATCTAAAATTAGGTAGGTACCTAGTTTAATTTAAATTTGAATTCTCGGTTCAATACGAAAATACTTAAATCACAGTGACAATAACATTCAAAATTATAACATGTATTTTATACCTTATGCGTCATAGTAGTCGGTAATAATGGCCAACTTAAAAATATGAACAAATTTAATTAAAATAATTTTTTAAAATTACCAATTTTTCCATGACTACTCCCTTTTAACTACTCCCTTAGGGACAGGCTTAATGCTCAAACCTTAGGCTTGAGCATTAAGAAGTGAACCCAAGAAGTGAACTAAATATTGGTGGTGAAATGGTATCCAGGTTCCTACTATATATTATTACGTACCTATCCCCATAGTTTGAATACAATTAAACAAATGGATTAAAAATTAAAATGATAGTTTGGCTTTATACTTGACATACTCGAAAAAAAGTATAGAAAAAAATATTAAATAACTTGTAGGTACTATAATTGGTTCTACTTATGAATAATTAATGTTAGTAACAATTGCATGATGTTCAAAATCCTTTTAAAATAAAATAAAAACATTAAACCCATTAAAAATGTATATTATACAAACCAGATAACTTATAGTTACCATCAAATAATAATGGTAATCACCCTTTAATATTCTTCAACAATAATTTGATAAACTAACAAATTTGTATACAGACTGTAATCGCTAATTGCCAGTAATAGATTGCATTTGAAAACAATAGTATTAAAGTAACAGTGGAACCCATAAATTAACACAATTAATTTTAATTAGTGTTGATATTAAAAAAGAAAAACGTGTTTTGGCAACTGATTCAATTGTCAATGTCAAAAGTTTAAAAAACATTGTTTGAAAAACGTTTATCGACTGTTTTCAGAATATTTGACATACATTGTTGTAAATTAACAAAAATTTGTTTGTATAATAAAATTAGTCACTCAATAGGTCTGCTTTTTCATAATGGCTCCACAATAGCTTATATTGGAGCAGCTACACTCATAAATATCAATATCTAATCATCATAAAAATAAAAATAGGTAGATATAAAAGATATGGTGGTTAACACAAGGAGATAAATGTTTCAACTTAGATCTAAATACTATGTCTGTTTCTTTTTTTTTTAATTTTCTTTATCCTTAGAAAAAGTACAAGAAATTACCAAAATCACCTCTCCAATGCATCAATCAGTAAACCCAAAATTCTACAAAAAAAGCATTATGAAGTTTTTATTGAAATAATAAGTGTCAAGTATTTTTTAGTTAATTACAAATTAATATTTATCATACAATATTTAATTTAATACAAACATGAAGATAATATGAACGTGGTATTCATTTCATGTTCACACAACAACCAAATCAATTAAGTAAACAGTGATAGTATCAGATTAATAATTTAACAACAATAATTGATGTGGGAAACTAAAACTTAAAAGTTTGTTTGTTTTAAGAAGGCTAGTAATTTAACCAAATGTTACAAAAAAACACTCATCTAATGACCACACATTATTACCTATACTTGGAACATAAGTGATTTACAAAAATATTTATTACAATATATTTTTACTTACAGTAAGTTTATTATCACTAAAATATGTAAATAAAGTAGATAAGTTTGTATTTATAAAATATAGGTATATCAATTTAATAATTTTTGTGTTCACAATTCAATAACACTTACATAAAACAATGTTTCAATTGTGCATATTTTCATTAAATTTAGAACCAATAAATATAATTGATACAAATTAAACGGAATAAAAACTAAACAAAATGTTGATTTTTTTTTTAAATTAAATCAAATCAGTCAATTTTTAATAATTTCAATCACAAAGATTGATTTGACAATTACATATTGTAATTAAATAACAAACTTACAAATATATTGCTTTAAATATTATTCACTTTTGTAAAAGTAAAAATAATGGAAATTTATAAAAAAAAAATAATAATAATTCACAATTAAAATTGATTTTGCTCTAAATGCCATAATCGGTATGCTAAGATTGTTTAGTATTTATTCTATGTTTTTTAATCATATTAAGACATTAAAAAAATGTTGTATTATCAACATAGTTATTTTCAACTATAGACAAATCAGTCAAGACTAATTATGAAATCTGACAAATATGTAATTGTTAAATACATATTAAAGAATTTAAACAAAAATACAGTCAAATATTTTTTAATTTTTCTTTTTTAATAAGACTAATTTTTTTTCACGCAATAATTACAAGTAAAAAAGAATTTATACTGTCACAGTTCTTAGAATATAAAATTGTAAAAATGTCCATTAAATACCATACAGTTTTAAAGTTCTATCCATACTAGTTGAAGCAATAAATTGAGAATGTTTTCCAAACCTAATTCCAGTAGCCAATGCTGTATGATCATTGAATACTTTTAATTCTTGCCATTGTTTACACATATAAACACTGAAAGTAATACCAAGACATAAGTACATGTTATTAATTAATTTTATATTTTTTTTTATACTCACCGGACATCAGATCCTGCAACACCAAGATATGTTCCACTTTGGTCAAAGCATAAATCTTTTATTTCATAACCATCATCTAAGATCAAAGTTTTGAAATTCTTTAACTTACGCAAATCCCAAAGTTTCACACAACAGTCATCTGCCGATGTTGCAAGGTAATAACCATTTTCAGAAAATGATATGGCAGTAATTGGTCCAGAATGGCCTAGTATAAAAAAAAAGGTATTACACTTAGAATCAAAAGTACTTTAAGCTATTTTTACCAGTGAAAGTTGCAACATTTGATTGTTCTTTTAAATCCCAAATTACAACATTTGAATCGGAAGTACCAGTTCCAAAAATAAGTCCATCAGGATGGAATTGTCCAGTGGTCAAAGTATTGTTTGAAGTTTGACTTGAAATCTAAACATAAAATGGTTTAATGTCAATCACACATTCCCAAATAAACTTTTTCATAAAATTTTAATTTACTTTAGTTAATAATTTTCCTGTACGAATATCAGAAAATGCCCAATTCTGATCAGCGGATGTTGACAAAATGTAATCACCAGTCGGATGCAATGATACCCCAGTTACGGAACCTTCATGTGCTCTAATTATTTGAGACAGTGGATTTGAAGCACCAACATTCCATACTCTTATTGTTGTATCAGGTGATCCAGTTATTACAACATCCTGGATAATTTTTTATACAAATTAAACTTATTTTTTAAATTTACTAATTTAATATGATTAGAATTTTTAAACATATGACCCAAACTATATTTTACCTCATTAGGATGATAGATTACCCGCGTGACCTTCTTAGTATGACCTTTCAGAACCGCTATAATTTGTTCAGTATCCTTATTAAATACTGTAGCATTTTTATCATTCCCTCCTGTTAAAATTTTACTAGTATCTTCACTGTGTATATCTAAAGACAATATTCCTGGTACACTAGCACTGTGAAGACCCTAGATAAAATATATAATTTAAATATTATATTTTAATTCCATATTCTCTTAATATAAGTAAATAATTTATATTATATCATTAAACTTATACTTACTGGATGGGATGCCAATGTTTTAAATGATTTTAATGATTCTTGATCCATCAAGTCTTCTGGAACTGTACGCCCTCGCTTCTTTCTCTCCTGTGTTAAAACGGTAGCTTTTTCTTGCAGTTTCTTAATTATTTCATCAGTTATTCCAGCTTCTTCTGTAGGTTGATTCGGTACTCCAGCTGCTTCCATAGCAATAGCCTAAGAACAAAATAAATAAAATATGTATAAAAATACAAAACACTGTAAATAAAAACATACAGGTTGTGGTATTGTTGTAGGTCCAGCATTTACAGATGTATCGTTAACGGAAATTCCAGCTTGTGGTTTAAGCGTAGCTAAAGCTTCACGAGCTGCAGTTACTTCTTTGGTCAAACGACCAATCACACGACAGGCAGCATCATGTTGGTATAAAGCATGACTCAACTCTTGTCTGGCGGTTTGTAATTGTTGTCTTTGTGTGAATGCATGCAACATAACAGCATCCCATTCATCTTGGAGCATTTTCAGTATAGCAGGAATGCTGGTGCCAGTTATAGGTTTAGGTTTAACAATAGGTGAAGCTATAATTTATAACAAATAAAAGATATTTTTTTACAAAAAACTATAGTATAAAGTTTTTTTTTTTTTTTTTTTCAATAACATTTTTCTATCAAAATCCAATTGAACCTTATTATATTTAATGAACCTTATTGGCAAAGTAGAGAAAGGATAGAGTATATTTGTATATGCCCGGAACGTTCTAAGTGATTTTGAGTCTAATAAGCAACCGAATATTAAATCCATAAGTTTCATAAATGGTGTCGACTGTATATATTTATGTATATCAAGTATTAACCGAGTAATAATTTATATAATACACAATGTATAGAGTATAAATAATATTTGGGACCACAAAGACATAGGTGCCCATTAAAATAATGAAGAAAATCAAATTAGTTTTAGATTCCGAGCATAACGAGGGAGCTATGGGTTTTACAATGCTGTTTATTTCTTTTTTTCTTCTTTAAGTCTGTGGACAAGTTTTTTTCCTAATAAACTTGCTCAGATTTTTACTGGTAACACCTTTTATGAAAACTCAAGTTGTCTAGATTGTACTTTTAAAAAGTCTTTTTTTAATTTTTGACACCATTTTTTTTAATAAAAGCACTTAAGTGGGTAAAAAATTAGGAAAACGTACAATTTCACGATTCAATTATTTTATAAAAACATGGTGTTTTCTACCAGAAAAAAAATTTAATTCATTTTAATTTTTTAATTTTAATTTAATTTTTGCCTTTTTGATTTACTTTCTTACTGTATCATTTCCAAAACTTTTGAGCTTTTAAAGAATTTTAATTTTTGGGAGTTTTTTGCTATTATTCAGTTACAAATACATGTAGACTTGAAACTTGGTAATAATACTTGTATTGGACTTACATACACGTGGTACAATTTTCAAAATCATCAGACGTTTTTTTTTTTAAGGGTTTGGAAATAATATTTAAACGTAAATCGCAAAAAAAATTACCATACTTTAAATTATGTATCACCAAACTGCGCTCGAAATTGTCTTTCATCAAGCAATGGTTTATCATTGCTTACAGATATAAATGAAATAACCTTATGTATCTTATCTTCCCAACTTCTCACATACAACAGTGGACACTCCCATCCCCTAAATCAGCTCTTTTGTTTTATTTTTATTATTACAATGATTAGGACTACTAATATTCATATATGAATTAAATTTTTGTTTTGTAAAAGAAAAAAATTATTTTCAAAAAATTTAAAGAATCAAGAATTTATTATTCTCCTGACATTTTGACATTTTAACCTTTATTTTCTTCAGTCTCACAATTTTTCAATCACTGCAATAACGACTATAAGTATTCATATTTTAGTTAAATAAACGTTTGGGTAAAAAAATTAACTAATATAAAAATCATTTAAATTGTAAGACTAATGAAAATAAAAGTTGAAATGTCTAAATGTTCAGAAGAATAAACTCTTAATTCTTTAAATTTGTATTTAATTTAAGAAATTGATCGATCATTTAAATAGTTTTATATTTAAAAATAAATAATGATTAAATAAGTAGTTATTTTTTTTTTATAAGATAAATTTTTTATTAAAATATGAATATTAGTAATCTTAACCTTTATAATTATAAAAATAAAAAAAAACCAAATTTGATTATCTTTATTATTTCAATGTGTATATCTTTGTGGGATACTGTATAAATATTATTTATAACATTGTACATTGTTTATTATATAAATTATTACTCAGCTAATACTCAGCACCAGGTTTGTTTATAAATAATGTACTCAAAAAACCTCTACTACATAATAAAGATATACTTATATGAAATATTAAATACTTATATAAGGTATAAATGTACCTTAAATAACTGTAACTTCATTGAATGTATATGTTAAACGGTGCCCAATAAATTACCAAGTATAAAAAACATTGTAAACCGGTTTTTAAATTTTTCATTACCTAATTATATATTATATAATTGAATTTGATTACATATTTTAAAAATAAAACATAACATTTACATATTTTAAATAGTTTTAAATCAACTAAATAACAATAACAAACTTTAGCTAGACAAGTGTACTAACAAAAATCAAGAAATAACAAGTTTTATAAATATTTAAAAATGTGTTGTTTTTTTTTTTTATAAGAAAGTTTTATTGAAACAATATTTCATGGATGTCCCACCTTTAAAATGATTTATTTAATTTTAACATACTTTTAATCTCCACTAATTGTTCAACCGTCAATTCTTGGCCATTTATTGGATCGGTATTATTTTCTTTGATGTATTTTTCTATAAGTCGTCTTTCAAAAATTGAACCAGAAACAGGTGAAACAACTGGTTGTTCTGGTACTTCATTAGACACTAAAAAACAAACATTTAAAATATTTGTTTTGAAAAATCAACTAACTTAAATTTATTTGATGATTTGCCTAATATTATTAAATAATTACAAATTTCATGTTTACAACTACAAGTAAATTAATAATTATGATCAACATTATACACTTTCTAGTTTCTAGTACCTATCTACATACAAATTTGATACAAATTACGATTTGAATATTTAAGCAGGTAGTACAACTGAATAATAAATTAACATTTCTTTACTATAAATCATTGAAAAATAATATACATTTTTACATATAAACGATAACGAAACAGTATTGGAAGACATAATTGTATAATGTAATAATATTGATTCTTACGGGCACACACTAGCGACATGTTGAGATGTTACAATGACTAGTAAAATTTTAAAACAAACAATGGAGAATGGCTTCGAAATTTAAATTTATTACACACGTCTATACAATTCAGACATTAGAGAAAAATTAAAATAACAGTAGTGAACTACTTAACTATAAAATAAAATAATAGTAAACAATTGCCGTCGATCCAAATCTGATGTACGAATCATAACATAACCTTAAATGATAAAAACAACAAAAACCGGTAGATTGTCATAGAGCTTATAAGTTGTATACACGATTTTTTGTAAGTAGATTTTACACCACACCTGATACCATCGATGACCATACGTAAGTACGTAACACATCGGTGAGTTGTAGTGTCTGATAAAAAGGGTATTACGTATAGATAATAGCAATAATAAAAAATAATATAGATAAATAACAAGTTAGTTTTGGTTTGCTCTAATTTAGTTTTTTTTTTACTTTGGCCATGTTCGACTTTTACACTTGTAGTGAATAAAGCTAATTAAAAACAATTTACAACTTTACGAGCATTTGGATCGAAAAGTAATGTACCTAACAAATACAAATTCTACTATTCCTAGACTTAAGTACAACAAATGGATATTAGGCACATCCATTCACCAAACAGCGATCACTGATGATAACATTAGCTGTGCACGTATTTAGTTGTTTTAAATAATAATAGACGATTGCAACCATTTTCAATATGCCAATCATAAATAATAGACATAAATAATTACTTATTATATTATTTATATATGTATATCATAGATTTATTATCTGTGGTGTGTATACAACATAAATTGTAGAATGTAGACCAATTCACAATATTACATAGGTATATTTAGACTAGAAACCTGTTATTTTAAGTTTGTCATCATTTTATATAGAACCTATGATGGCAACTACTAACAGTGAAAACGATTCGTCTCGTAAAGACACCGACAATAAAGAAAACGATAACAAGGATGAACAGAATACAATGTTTGAATGTAACATATGCTTGGATAATGCTAAGGACGCAGTTGTCAGTGTTTGTGGCCATTTATTTTGGTTAGTTTCATTGCTAAATAATAATAATTATATTAGTAAACAAATTGAATTGTGTGTCTGTACTTAACGTACCTCACAATATTGGGTTTAATTAAATATTAAATATGTATTTAATATTAAGAATAACAGGTTTAGTCATTATAAAAAAGGGTGTAATTTACTTAGCACCATTTCTCTTTGACACAGATACACTCATTTCAAAAATACATTTTTACATTCTGTATTTGAAATTACATTAGTGAAATAAGCACATTTTAATGAAATGAAAAAGAATTCAAATATAGTTATTAAATATTTTAAATTAGATGAAAAACAATTTAAAGTTATGAAAATATTAAATACTAATATAATAGAAAATTTTAATAATAATAATAATATAACTAAATATGTCAACTCTTATATGTCTTTTATGTTAATTTAATAAGACTGATAAACCATTAAACTTCAAATTATTCTTAAGTATTACTCTCAAAATTAAAATAGGACCTATGTGAATTACAGCTGATTTAAATTTTGAAGTCAACTATACAAAAAATAGAGTACCCGATTAACTGCATTTTTATCACTTACACATTTCGACAGTAGTTTTATAAACTTTAGTTTGTTAAAACAATATAAAGTAATGTATTTATTTAAGTGCTTTATAACATATGTGGTATTATCTATGTATTCTTGCATTTTATTGCATTCTTTAAAATTTCTAAAACATATCAGCATTATTGCAGCATGTTTAGAACACGCTTAAAAATATTGTGAGTTTCATATCTAAAGTCATCACCATTTAATCAAGAAAAATACATTTAAAAAAAAAAATGATTAGTTAGTAATTTTATTGGATGCATACATCTTTTATAATTAAAACTTGAAAAAATTTTTAGATTATTTTATACTTAGACATGCACATTTTGGGTTCTATTTCTGTACCAGGAAATTATTAAATAAAAATCACTTATAAACATTCTTCAAGTACCAGCATACCTACTTTACATACCTAAGAAATCACAAAGCTAATGAATTGAAAGAAATAGGAGTATGAATACAGAATAGTTGTATAAATTAAGGACCAAATAGAAAATTTCTAGTATCCCGGCAGCTAGTACATGCCTATATTTAGGTGTAACTTGAACTAGCCATTATTTGAAGTTGGCTGTGTATAAAAGCCAAATTTACCAAAAGTATTAAAATATTTTAATAAATAAGTGATCTTCAACAGAGTTCACACAGAAAGCAGTATTTATCAAATCCGAATAATCCCATGAGTCTATAAACATTGTAGTTCAATTTTATAGTTATGACGGTAATGGATTTTATTGTAATAAAAAAATCAAAATATATACCAATTTTTCTTGAAATGTAGAATACAAAATCCTTAATATGTAAAAATAAAAAAAATGTATTAGTATTAAGCACAAAAAAATAAATATATTTTATATAATTATAAATATTAAATAAAAATAATATAAACAATGTAGGTATTTAAAGCTAAGAACAAAGCAATGAAAAACAACATAATGTCGAAGTTTGCTTATTGTATGTGTTTAGATGTTAATATAATATGTTAAATAACTGAAAAACTCGGATTTATTAATACTGCCCTTTCAAAATATGAACAAAATAAAATTGTTCCATCACTTTGAAATGTCTCTTTAATAAACTCTTTTGAATAACGATTTGCTTTCAACTTTTAGCATTTTAAAAATTGGAAACTATACACGTACACAAGACTAAATGCGACAAACATGATTTTCAAGTACCAGTGTCTACAATGGCGTATACAGTACATACTAACGTAATCGCGTTTCATATTCAGTTATACCTGAATTAGTTCTAATTTATTGTGACTAAATATATAAATGCCATTGAGATAACTTAGAATATTTTGGTCGTTGTCAAAAGTTACGAATCTTGTCATTTTTTAAAAAGCAGACAATGTTTGTCATTGTCAAAAATCAAAAATTACTGAAATATTTACCAAATATATAAAATTAATTTGGACTTCTTTCAATTAGAATGATACATACATAAATAGAATCGTACATATTTTTTATCAGATTAAAAATATCTCAGTCCAATAAAAATATGTACCTATCTATAATAAAATCCATTCTCTAGTTATGACATTACAATTGAACTGGGCCATAATAAATTTACTTTAAAGGTTATAATAAGCAGATATTAAATAATTATTTTTATTTAATTTAGATATTATGTATAATTGTTTAATTATTATACACTAGTTGTTTACTATTTTTGGTTATTAGATAAATATTTTATAATAGGTTAATAATAACTTTTAACTATGTATTCAATTTATCACATTATAATAACAATTTCTAAAATTGTTGTTTAATATTATATTTCAAATTTCAGCTGGCCATGTTTGCATCAATGGTTGGAAACACGTTCAAGTCGTCAAGTATGTCCAGTATGTAAAGCTGTTATAAACAAGGATAAAGTAATCCCAATTTATGGGCGCGGAAATTCCAAACAAGAAGATCCCCGGTATTTTTATTTTTTCTAGCACCATATTAATTATTTGGCATATAATATAAAAACTGTTTAAAAAGAGTTAATTTATTATAAAATAAAAATTTAAAACTCCACAAAAAATATTAGATTATCAATGGCTAACAAAATTGATTATGCTCATTGTTCCCCTACCTATGTTTCTGCAAACTTAAAGTGATTGTAGGCTGATAAAAATTAAAAATGACTACTATTTATTTTAATTAAAACTTAATAATGTCTTGAATTTTTTATAAAACTTTCTACTCAAAAATCAAAAGGTGGAAGTAGTTTCACCACCAGATTTAAGAGTGAAAAAGATAAAGTCAAGTATACAATTTTGGAATTGCATGCATCTTAAATTTTCATAAAATATAATTGAAAATAGTTAATACTTTCAGAAATAATATGAAATTTCTCATTACAAAATCACTGTGTATATAAAATTAATAATTTATATTTTATCTATGATGTTTTTTTTTTGTTTTTCTATTGTTTTTACCCAATATATAGTCAATATAATGAGATCAGTAATTATCAGATATATGATAAATTGTCTAAACTATGGATAATTTTGACAAAAAATATATTAATTTAAAGTAACTATAAGGTTATATATTATTTATAACATACATATTTTATAATTAGATATTAAATTATATAATATTGTATTTATTTATTTTATTTTTGTATTTAAATGAACACAAATTATTATAAAAATATATAAAATATTAAGTATATAAGTAATATATTTTTTAAATATTGTCTTTGAGATAATAACAATTTAATGAACCCTGAATAATTATATATTAGATTTTGTTATTAAAACATTTTTTTTTTTTATAGAAACAAAGTACCACCAAGGCCATCTGGCCACAGAACTGAACCCGATTCTACCACAGTAAACTTAAATTATTAAAAATGTATCATTCAATTAAAATTTTATTAGATAATGAATTTTTTTCTTCAGGGTTTCCCTGGATTTAATTTTGGAGATGGAGGATTTCATTTGTCGTTTGGAATAGGCGCATTTCCTTTTGGCTTTTTAACATCGTTCAATTTCTCTGATCGTCCACATGGTAAGTGAAATAACATTAATATAGTGTTTAAATAATGAATTTATTAACCGTGTAAAATAATGGATTTTATTAGCTCCAGTTGTTGGACAGTTACAACAAGATGACAATTACTTATCAAAACTTTTCCTGTGGGTTGCAGTGATATTTATAGTTTGGCTATTGTTGGCATAATTTTTTTGCACAGTACATTATATTTTATAATTCTTCTTATTAATCTTCTATAGTTCATTGAATTACTCTTGGAAATACTCACGGCGGCTTTTTTTTATTGTAATATCTTAGTTGCTATATTTTAGTCTTAAACTTTTTCTAAGCTATAAACTCCTCAATTTTCTTTTAATCATTACTATTTGGTGCTTAGTTTGAAACCCCAACTATAATATTTTCAATTTTGTTAAATAATATGATACTTAACTTCAGTTACATATTTGTTTGCATTATTGACAAATATTTTTATAATGATGTCGTCGTGAATATTCTTGAATAGAGTAATTTTTTAATAGTAATTAGTAATAGTATTTTTATTTTTACTGAATTTTGGAATTTGGCATATTAATTTCTATTGTATTTTAATACTTTGTTGAAATGATTATTTCTAATTTTCACCATGTATTTGTTTTATATTTTATGTATTTATGATTAATGTTTATGCTATACTTATATATTATAACGGTTTCTTTTGAATTAATTTGAACAATATTATTATTCTTTATAATTATAATTGATGTTTATGCCTATTAATCATTTGCATTTGTTTATTATGTACTTTAGTGTTGGGTCATATTATGTTCTTTCAATTGACTGGTAAAAACATGGGTTTTCTGATAAAAAAAATACTTGAATATTGGCGACCAATAAGCAACATTATATTGATATATTGATCTAATAATATTAACCACCATTACTTGCTGCAATCAAACCAAATATACGAACAATTTGAGGTCACTTGAAGAAAAGCATTAATTTTAATGATCTGTTAATATTTTGTTGATTTCCAAAAATCAACAAAAGAATAATATAACAAATTCATAACACGATTATAGAATAGAAAAATGGTATCTAAAGTAAATGGTGTGGTTTTATAGTAAAACAAAATTAATTTACTATGTATTTAAAATGCATAGTGTGGTTCTGCTACTATTATTTCATAATTCAATCAACTGATTTTTAATTATTATTTCTAGATACAAATAAAAATCAATATCATACAAAATTAAAAAATAACAGTGGTATACTTGAGCAATTTGTAAAAAAAGAATAATTTGTAGTGTAAATCTGTACTAAGTATTTGTGATAAGACTCAATATTTTTACATTTACTATCAACCATATTTCTATATAAAAAACTTATTATTATTATCTATTATTCAAAGAATAATGGGCCCCACTAAGCATGCTTGTGTGGAGGCCCATGAGAACTTATCATACAATTTATTTAAGTTTTTTTTTTTTAATTTAATTAATTGCAGTCTTAATGGTAAAGGTACTCGTATTAGATAATATAAACATCAGGAATAAAAAAACAAAGTAAACATATGAAAAAATACATAATATATACAGTAAGAATACAATTGTGACATATTAAGAAATTTATTTTATTTTACTCCAGTTTGTTATAAAAGCCAATGTTGTAATTTTAGTTTAACAATATTGAGTTGTTTTTATTTATGTGTATAATATATAACTTTAGCCGTCATAATTTATACCTTATTGGTAATTATTAAGTAATGCAGATTTCTAAAATCAATACTATTACAATATTATTATGGTATTTACTGTTCATAATGTGCATTTTGAATGAATACCTAGTAACTTTTATATTAAAGGAATCTATAAAATTGGTCACAAAAACAATAGTAAACATAATGAAAGCGCGGTCTAACAGATCTTGTAATGAAGCATTCACTAAAAAAAAAGAAACCAGAATGCAGCATCTCAACGACTCCTTTAATTATGAAAAGGAAATAAAATACAAACAGTTATTGAATTTGCTGATGAACTGTGTTGCCTTAAAATAAAACAATAATGGTTATGAAGAGTTAAGGAATACTACTTATATTAAATTGCAATAAAAAAAAATAAAATATAGTAAAACCTATACCTGTACCTATTTATACTGTTATTTTATTCATACCTATTTGTATAATATTCTAAGTTGGTAGTATTTAGCTTTTATACTTGTATAAGTCAATTACTACTGACACTGATTACTAGTTCTCAAAAACAATAAAACGTATAAAGTTAAAAATTTGGGATAGTGGTTACTCGTTTCTCTAAAACTAGAAGTGCAATAAGAGATTTTTAAAAATTGCACTTTTTAAGTTATGTACCTATATTAACTAATAATTAATGTAAATATATTGCATACAATAAAATAAATAAGATATTTGCATACGAAAGATGAAAATACACAAAAGATTTAATAGAGACTGAGACTGACCATAGAACTAATAAAACTCAGCAACTATTCCAGGAATTCAATTACGGGAGGGTACAAAAAATATAAAAAGTTCTTAAAAATTGATGAAGGATCTTTAGTTACAAAACAAGACAAAGTTTTAAAATAATGGAGGTAATATTATTACCAATTGCTTAACTATGAAAACCCAATTGAGATGATCGGATGGATGCCAACAAAACCTAATGACATGGACTTCTCACCTTCAAGTAAAGAATAAATAATAAACCAATCAAGTGAAATTTTAAATAACCTGGATGAGGGAAAAATAAACAAATTAGATATTATTATAGAAAGTACCTAACAATAAGATCTAAGCTTAGATCATATACCATAGACAGAGCCACCGCATGATAAACGCGCACTATGAGTTGAATACATCATTATTGAGTGCAAAGGGGACTGATGTCTATTGCGCATGCGTATCAGTACTCGTCACATATTTATCGTATAAATCATATAATCATAATATTACCAGGCAGTGATGGTAGGTACATCACACATGATTACGTGAATTCGACCAATTGTGTGCGATATTAGTTTTGCGCATGCGCATTTATCTCAACTCTTGGTTATGTTTGCTTCAAATATTCAATGGCTTTATCTATAGTATATGATCCATAGAAAAGAGATTATGATCTAAGGATCTAAGTCTAGTCCATAAATGTGGTTACAACCACAAATTATTAGTTTCATATAATCTACACTACAATCGCAGAGTATAATTATGTCCCATGATATTATCATTTTTATTATTTGAAAATGTAAAACACCGGATTTTCGTAAGACTGCCACTAGTCAATGTTTTTTTTTATTATGGTTTTTTTAAAAATGTTTTCGCCTTATTGTCTTTATAATGTAAATAAATCGATGAAAGTAAAAATGTTCATAAATATTCATTGTATGAAAATCCGTAAAAAGGTATGAAAATGTATATGGAAAGATTTTGTAATCATTTAACCAATAGATACATTTTATATTATTATATTTATAATAGATATCATAAGCTGTAACCATAATATTCAGGTTTTACAATATTTAAATCCTATTTTTCACAGAGTACAGTTTTAACAGATGAAATAAAAGATTCCACTACACAAATCACTTATGACAATCAATTTACCATACTGGAAAACTCTATGACACCTTTATGTCATATGCCATATGACAAACAAATGATCCAAAAACAATATTGGACCAATACAATAAGCAAAGAACTGCGCTCTCGATTACACAACGCCAAAACACCAATTAGGCTGCCCAAAGTTCTTTCCATTTCACCAGCAGTATGTTTAACTTAAAATTATTTATTTTATTGAAACTAATTTTGTTAGAATATTAGCCACAGATAAATGAATATCGCAGTAAGGACGAATTTAATTTCCGACCCGGTATAGATGGTAATCCAAAAACCTTAGGTTTTTTTATAGGTGATCATTCTAAAAGAAATATCTATTGTGTTCCTGGTACAAAATTGGTTAATATGAAACAATCACATAAACATATTGCTCAGGTAATTTTACTGTAATTAGTTTTTCCGGTGTTTAAAATATGTATAATTGGTTTTTTTGTTTTTAGATTTTTGAAATATTTGTTAGAAAATCTAAATTACCTGTCAGCTATGATCATCTGGATGGTGGTTTTTGGCGTGGAATCATTGTACGGAGCAATTTAAAGGGAGATATAATGGCTATAGTGGTTGCTAATCCTAGGGGTTATACCAATGAAATTATGTTGAACGAACAATGTAGATTTAATGACTTTTTAAAAAATAGTAATATTAATATACAATCATTGTACTTTCATCCTAGGTAATTATTTAAAAATCTAAATAAATAAATTTATTTCACAAGCTACCTAATAATTTATTATTTAGTTTGCATACAAGGAGTACAAAAGATTCAACATATATTCTTATTGATGGAGATAAATATATTTATGAGAACTTAAGTGGTTTTAACTTCAGAATATCTCCAGATTCATTTTTCCAAATCAATACTTTGGCTGCTGAAGTTTTATATGATGAATTATTTAAATTACTTAATCCGCCAAAAACATCTACTCTGCTTGATTTGTGTTCTGGCACTGGTAAGATTTATAATAAATACCTATAGTATCTATTTATTTTTAAAAATAAAACAATGCTTTCCTAGGTGCCATAAGCATAATAGGTAGTCAACGTGTTCAGTCATGTATTGGTATTGAATCTGTAGCACAAGCTGTCAATGATGCAAAGGAAACTGCAAAAATAAACAATATACATAATTGTGATTTTATTGAAGGAAATGTGGAAATTGTAAATAATATCTCACTAATTTATTAACTAAAATACACATGTATCTTTTTTTTCTTTCAGATATTAAAACATGTTTTAAATGAATTAAGTATGGCCAATGATTTGTGCTCAGTCTTAAATCCAGGTCGAGCAGGAGTTCGTAAGTACTGGCATTCCAATTATAGACTATTTTATTAATTTTTAATATTTTTAGATACGAGAGTAATCAATGCTATAAGAAAAAATAAATTGGTTAACAATTTAGCATATATTTCATGTAAAGCAGACAGCCCGTCAACTATAAAAAACTTTATGGATTTAATTAAGGATAATAAACATTCTGATCCTTTTAGTTTGGAAGTGATCAAACCAGTTGATATGTTTCCTCATACAAATCATTGTGAATTAATTTTCCTGTTTAAACGTTAAAAACTATAATCTAATAGAAATATGTATATATTATATTAGTGGTAGGTAGTCAATTAGTGACTTGTGTCATAATTACTTGTCGCTTGTAAAATATTAAAATTATCTATTATGTTTAGGAATGTTTTTGTTAATTCAATTAGGGTATGTCATTATCATAGTACCTATTCCATTTTTGCTTAATTTTTTGAAAAAAATATTTATTATTAATTTTGCAGAAAAACGCCTGTCAGTTGTTGCATTTGAAAAATATAGTCAGTTACACCTCACTGGTCAACAAAATATTATCCTATATACATAAATGGATTTTGGTAATGTAAAACTGGCATCTAGATATATTACTATTTTTTCTCCGTGGTAGTATCTCCTTACTTATTGATTCAAAAAAAAAAAAAACCAATTATAGAATATTGAAAAATGTATATTAATATTTATAAATCAAAAATATAAAATTTAATATGTTTACTACTTAATAAAAAAACTCACAAAATTAAAATACCAATAAATAGCTTAAAAATTACTTAAATGTTTTGAAAAATTTACTACATCTAAAAAACCCAAAATAAGTTTTATTATTATTTAGGGAATAACCTAACCATGTTACGCAATAACATCGGTTTTCACGCAGATTAGTAGAATTTAAAATGGCAGTTACTTAATAACTACTCATTGGAAATTAATGTGTAATACATTAAAATGTTCAAAAAAAAAATCTTTACCGAACTGCTTTCTTAAAATTTTGCGAAAATAATGGAATAAAAAGTTAATTAAAATATAAACATTTGTAATCCTCTTCCCTTTGAGTAATTAAAAAAAAAAAAAAAAAAACATAATTTAACTATCTTTATTATCTCCGAAGATATTCAAGGGGAATATCTTTCTGCGACAGCTTACATATGACATATTATGGTAAAGTAATTACATATGCATTAAATATTCTCTTTAATAATATTTGTTTGATCATGGATAACGAATAAAATATTGGATCTAATAAAATATCGCAACAAGCTAAGGAAGACCAATGATGCGATTTATGGAATAATAAAGAACCATATTAGCCAAAAGTGCAGAGTTGTAAAGGAGAAATTGATGGATAATGCAAAAAAATTTAAATAAATAAGACTACAATTAAAATAGAATAAGCATACAGAATAATTAAAAGATTTTCTAGATTACCGAAGCTAAGAACTAAAATTATGAATGATAAGAATGGACAACTGATTATAGAAGACGGTGAAACAGTGACGAGATGGAAAGATAAGTCTTCGTTTTCCAATGTTTTTCCTTAATTATTAAGAAAATCAAAAATGGCTTCAACAAACCACCTAGACAAAATTTGATAACAAAAACTGCTCATAAAGTTGGAGCTGGATTTCTAGTAGAATCACAAAATAACAGTTTACATCATAGTAAAATCAATAAATATTCCTGGCTACGCTAATATTAAAAAACACGTCATAATACTATTTGTGTCTGATTGAAAATCAATTATGGTGCAATGTCATGCACCATAATCATAGATATATATATATCATACATATATGAGTCATGCTTTGTTCCTTGAATGAATTGGCAAATGTATATACTACTCTACCCATTTTGCCCATAGCTCATCTCCATCTATATACATTTTTTTTCTATTATCAACTATAATAACTGGTGGTTATGATATTAGGTTTTTTTTTTTCATTAAACAGTGGTTCTGCAGCTGTCGCTACTGTTATCAGTCACTTGCAGACGTTTGGAATGCATTAGGTTGAACCATAAAATATTATTAAAGTATAAATGATTAATAAAATTATATAAAATCATAACCAGGTATTACTCCATAATATTTTTAAAAAAAGAGATCAATTTCATGTACTTAACACTATTGTTAAGGACATAGGACAATGCATTAAAAAGAGCAGTAGCCAAAATATTATATTTTACTATAGAGTTACAGTCGAATCCGCTTTATTGGGACACATCGGTTGCATTTTATTTTGTCCCAATAATCCGAAATACAAAAATGACATACATTTTTTAAAATTGTTTTACTATTGACTTTATTTAAATTTTTTATTACATTACAAAAAGAAAAACACGGTATTATAACTTAGTTATTTATAAAAATACATACATACATAATTAATATAAAGTACATATATACACATATATAATGTACATTGTATTTTATGTTATTTAAAAAAACTATGAATATTACTTTGTTTCTTGCGTATTATTGATTGTTCACGAATGTAGTCCGAACAAGCATCCAAAGCATTTATGGGGCTTCCCTCATTTTCTTGTTAAAGAAAAAATAGTCTCAATGTTTCCAAACATTTTTTTGCCTCCTGTAGTCGAATTGGTGGATCTGGTTCCTCGTCTGTATCTTCATCCGAATCATGTTTATCTTGTATGGATTGTATAATTGCATCATCAACGTTTTCGTTTTGGTCATAGCATTGCACATTTGAATCCAGATGTTCAAATTCTACGTTGTTCAGTACTCTTACAATATCATATTCTTCGGAATTTGGTTCTAATTGTTGATCGATGGTATGATAACCACACTTGCGAAAACAATTTTTTATCGTCTGACTGCTTACATCACGCTTGCTGTCTGAAATTAATTGAATTGCTTGCAGGATATTAATTTTTTTACTGATATCTATTGCCGTTGATTGTGGTTCAAGTAAATTGTCTTCAATCTTTTCTAAAATGTAATTGACCAGTGTTGCTCTATACTTAACCTTTAAATTTTGGATAACACCCATATCTAAAGGCTGAATTAGTGACGTTGAANGTTCTCGCAAAACCTGTTCTTGAAGTTGAATTCGTGCGATTGTTGATTTCGGTATTCCTAAAATTTCCGAAAGACAACAAATACTACAGCCTGGTGGCTGTAATTTAATCTTGTCGATAATTTCTAATTTTTGCGCGAGCGATAAATCTTTACGTACACGAGACATCGTTAATACACGCGACAAACACGACATATAACCAAATAACATTCAACGAAGAGGAAAAATTTCCTTTGTGAACATACGATAAGATACAATTCAATCTAATAAACGATTACGCGAGTCGGTCGCGATTTTCGAACTACTGATCTATTAATATACTCGATAAAAATGTCCCAATTATCCAAATTCGTGGCCCAGATAAGCGGTGAACGTTTACCCTACAAGTATACATTTGTTTTCGTAATTTAAGAATTGTCCCTATTAAGCGGTTGTCCTTATTAACCGGTGTCTCTATTAAGCGGATTCGACTGTATTACAAAAAAAAAACATGAATAATATTATTATTATCAATATTTTCTATATCCATGTATTATATTATTGATTATTTGTGATAAACTCTTATGGTAGGCACCTACTAGTAATGGTACGTATTTTCCGTCGAATTATTTTATATTTATACAATGTATTTATTGTTATATAGATGGCAGGGCGTTAAGAAACCTGAGTGGCGGAGCTATAAAGTTTTCACTTGCGGCGGGGCTATAACAAATTAGTACCAGTAACTGAATTACAACAAATAACGAAATTGAAAAATAATAAAAGCATTTCAGTAAATCTCCCGTTTTTCTTACGTTTTAACCTGGTTTTTCCCAGATATTATGAAAACCGTTAAGAAATTAAAAAAATTATGACCTCCCAAAAGTACCATCTGGACAATATTCCCTTTCAGAAGTGATGCCGCGCGTTTATATCTGAGCAAGATTTCTGTTAAAATATTTGTATACAGTATAAAAAAAAAAAATAAACATCTTAGTAAAACTAATACATTCTTCGCTAGACTCAGAATCTTAAAATGAAGTAATAGTTTACACCTAGGTACTATACAGTCTATGGTCGTAAATACCTATGCTTAAAACTTATTAAAAAATAAAAAACGTTTATTATAGTCAGGCTAAAATGCAATCTTGAAAAATATACACAAAAGATGAAAAAAAAAAAATTAATGATTAGCGGTAATTATACAAATATTGGGCAATAAAACACAATTTTTAAACTAGTAGAGTATTAAAAAAACCATAGATCAACCAAAATTAGAATTTTGTAAATCATGGATTGCATTACTTCCCGTCTTTTTTCTGCCATAATAAACAACTACTTAGTTATTTTAGTGTGCGAAACTATGAGATACGTTTTATACAAAAACAATGACGAAAAGTCTGAGTATACAAAATATTATTACTTTTCACTTATTAAAGATTTTATTATTATTATCTACAATATCCGTGGGCTAATTTAACGATGCATTAATGTTTGCTTGTTGGTAACATCAATTCAGTAAGTTCAATATTATAATCATAGATATTATCTAAAGATGTGTGGCAGCCTGCTTAACTGCACGACAACACCAACTGGCAAAGTTATAATAATAACAAAACCATTGTTTATAATTAGTGTCACCACAGTTAAACAAAAAATAATATTATAAACCTAATAATATCTTATTCTGTGATGATATTGGTGGTTAAATTAAATAATTTACTTACAAAAATAGTGTATTTTATAAAAAAAAAATCCTTAGTAACTAATAATTGTACAGTTGACACTTGAAAATATAAAAATATGTATAAATACGGTCAATAGGGGGGAGGGGGGCTTCAGCCCCTTAGCTTCTCCCCTGCGTACGTCACTACTCCTCAATATCTCAAATGACGCCCCAGTGTTACACTCTATAAGATTTCTGGTAGAAAAGTTGTTCACAGACAGAAAAAAAAAACACACCATAGTAAAACCAATAGATCCCTCGCTATAATCTACGAATCTAATATATACCATATATCCATATGTATATATATATATATGTTTGCATATTTTTTTAAATCATTTTTGGTAGTTGCCTACTTGTTGTTAAGAATAACATTATTTATTATGCTTTTTTTACGCTTGTAGACAATCAGTGGTCGATGACCATACCAGGAAAAATTTATAATAAAAGTATATAGATGGAGAAAAAAAATATTATCAACATATTATCTAATACATCTATATATATCACAGGGCTTTTATCGATGTAACATGTTATCTTTAGAACAATAACAACACAATATTTTACATCGTTATTAACAGTATAGTATAATTAACTATAATAATTATTATAATTTCGCGTAACAATAACACGTTATTCCTATGTATGTATTTTATAGTCGAGCAATTAATCCTTTTTTTTGTTTTTATTGTTTTGATTATTCACTTGTTTGCTTTTTGGGTTTTCTGTTCTTTTACTTGTTTGCTTTTTTGGTTTGGGTGTTTTTGGTTCTTCTTCTTTGACCGCGTCAGCAAGTTCCAAAACACCACTAGAAAATAAATCGCCCAATTGCATCATTCCACCTAAATCCAGAAGTTTTTTGAGCTTATTGGCGTATATGACCATATTTAAGGGATTCAGATCGACTTTCATTACAAGTTGTAGGGTTTTATCCAGAAATTTGTCAACCAAACCGCTATTGACAACGTTTGTGGCTTTCAGCAGGGCCGCCTCATAAGTTTCTGACTGTATGTAAACTAATGACTCGTACATATCATTAGCCGCTATCGTAAACATCGGTATGTCTCCTTCCTTGGCTATCGGCGAAGTCATAAGTTCACCCAAAATGTTGCTGAGTTTCACGTGCTCATTGGCCTTTATTTCGTTGTAGGTCATCTTATTATATCTCTGGATAGCTTTTACCAACGCTGCCCATAAACTTTCATTGTTCACCATATGTTCGAACATGTTTCTCGCCGACCTGGTACCCATTTTCCCATATTGGTTCTTGTTGTTTATATAATTCCAAGCTTTCCAGAAGTCCGTTTGCACTTTAGTCAAATTCGGGTATTTATTGCTGGACCCTAGTTTCAGTGACTTGGAATTTACTGGTTTATCAACCGCGGTAATTCTTTTAGACGGCGATTTTTTCATCGTCGGCTTTTGCGCATACGCGTCCTAAAACGGAACACAAAATTAATAATGTAATTTATTTTTATTGGCATATTAGTTGTTATATTTTTATGTGGAAATTCGATATTTACGCAGTTCTATTTATTTTTTCTTTTGACATGGACAATAAACAAAAAAGATAAAGGATATGTTAGAAGCCTTAGAAATTTGGTGTTGGAAGAAGATGCAGAGAATAAGTTGAATTGAAAGAAGAACAAATTAAGATGTATTTGAATTATATATTATGTATGTACAGAAAATAAACAAAAAATGAATATTGATGGATACTCTAAAGAAAAGATGACAAATGATAAGGTGTTCTTTGAGATACAAGGATGAATAACATAGTTTAATAATTGAAGGTATGATAGAAGAAACTCGATCAAGAGCTAGAAGGAAAAGAGGTTGACGAGATATTCCACTTTTAAGTTTTGGTTGGGGGAGAGTGGTGGTGCATTATTAACACGGTGCGTACCATACCGCTACACAAATGATACTCCACCACTCTCCCCCAACCAAAACTTAAAAGTGGAATAGCTCGCCAATAAAATGACGGAAATCAAAAATTTGAACACCAGAATTTATTTTAATTAATCCTTCGTCTATTTATGACATTTTTAACATAGGTTGCTATTTGCAAATCAAAAGTAGGAGGTGGTTTACCCCCAAAAATAAGAGTGAAAAAATTATAGAGCAGCTTGTTTCTAAAATATTCTAGAAAACAAATTCCGAAAAAATTAAATACTTTCCGAGATAACGAGTATCTTATGATAGATTGATCACTCTATATATTGTTTTTAGGTCCTATACGATTATTCAAAAAGAATTTAAGATTTAAATTGGACTAACGGTAGTGGTTGAATTTTACTCCACGTGTTCCTTTTAAACTCTGAAAGGACATCGACTCCATTTAAAAATATTATTTATTTAGCTTTTATAATTTATAATTATAAAATATGTTTACGTAGCCTGATTAGAAATAACTTTATTTGGTTTTAATGTAAAAGCACTTTTTATAAAAAAAAAAGAGAATAATATTCTGCAGGAGGGCAAGACGATCCGTTTTTCGATTATTTATTCCACTTTTAAGTTTGGGTAGGGGCAGTGGCATGATGAACATTTGAAATCCAGGGAGAAACAATTAGACATATTTTGGGGAAAATCAGTTTTTCAACTAATTAAAAATAAAATACGTCAATTGGTACAACGATCAGACGAATCCAATCATTAGGTCCCCCAGACATACAAATGGACAAATGGAGAAGTCTGGATTATTTGTTGATACAACAAGACATGTCTGTGTATGTCTCGTTCTTACACCGAATTTTGGTAATTCTGTATATGAAGCATATTATGCTTACGTCTTGTTATTATTGTTGAACTATATCGTAGGTAATGATATTATTTGGCGGTTTGGCGTTTTCGTTTCAATAAATTATAAACATTTTATTTATAATACCTATTATTAACAATACAAATATAAATACCTAATAATAATAGTATAATGAAGTATTAAAAAAAAAGTTAGAAACTGAGAAACTCTTTCACGTTTCAAAAGCTAAAGATTTTGTATCAATATCAAATAAAAATCTGAAGAAGCTAAAATACAAAATAGCAAAAATAGAAGTATTATCTTTCGATTTTAAACAAAACATACCATTACACCTTATCTCCGTGTATTGAGGTTTTTCTTTAGATTTTTCATAAGAGACACCTATTATAGTCGTCTCTTATGTCTCTAAATTTTATTCTGGAAGAACAGGAAAATATGTTAGGATTATTAAGTCTAAAAAAGTTTACACTACTGATAGGTGGTACTGTTATAGATGAACCATGATATGATTACTGTAGATGGATGTCGGGAGGCAGGTTACATAAAGCTATTTAATTTATATCTATAAGTAACGGGATAAGTCGTAAACAACGATAAACCATCTTAACGAACCTTCAAAGGTTATAGGTTAGGTTAAGCTTAAAACGATTATAAAACAATAACTACTATATTATGCTCATTTTTTTTTACCACGAAGTACAATTTTTAATAAACCTCATCTTAAATTGTCAAGCATTTCTATTTGGTAAGAAAATTTTATCCAAAAAGAATATCTTGAAAATTTAACAGGGGTTTAATTAGTTCATAAGTTGTAACTAGTGGTCAAAAATAAAAAGTTAAGTGTAATGTATTTTTTTTTATACGAGTTTTAATACATATTAATTTTTAACGATAATCATAAATATTTGTCTATTCAAAACATTTATAACCAAATTTCGCTCCGAATATTTTTTAGTTAGCAATGGTACATCTTTGCTTACAAATATAAATTAAGTAGCTATGTATCCCACCTTTCCTACTTCTCACCTATAATAGTTGGATTCCCGTTCCCAGTATCAGCTCTTTTTTAACTTTGAAAGTTCAAAGATTAGATTTTGTCAAAGATCACCAAGGAAATATACGTGTTAGTGGAAGATGAATCAGAATTTAATGCATTTTAAAAACAATTTTTCAATATTTTTTAAAGTATTTTTTTGTTTCTCCTGAACAAATTTATTGTAGATGTCTGGTTTTTGCCACAAAGTCTTCAATTTTATAAACAATGATATAAAGCATTAAAACCATAATATATTTGAACACTCACCCTATCTCCTTCAAGAAATATCCTATCTTTATTTTATTTTATTTTTTGTAATTCACTTGTACAAATGTCTTTCAATCGATTAACAAAGAAAACATATACGTTTAGGCGCCTACTTATAATTATCTCACTATATTCGATAAACTCATGGTCTCAATTTAACAAGTAAATTTTACCAAAAAGGCTTAATTTTTCACTCTCTTTATATTCTTCACCAAATGTCTATTGGTGCAGAAGAATTGAGCACTAAATTCTATTGCCAGTTTTATTGCCAACAATTTTTGTGGAAAACCCTGTATATTTTCTTTTAAATTATTAAAAAATATTTTTTTGGAAAAATCAATAGGAACTTTTTAAAATACCAAGTTAAATTGATCACTCTGTAGGTATATATAATACAATATCGTGATGGTATTTTAAAAGTTATTGTATATCCATATAATGTTTTAAGAGTATAATGTGTATGTATACGTATTTATTATGATTTATAATAATGTACCTACGTACAAAAGAACAAGTATTTTAAAGTAAATGATTTGCGAGACAATTCTTATACACCTAGCAGCTAGCTATATATAATTTGTGTTAATGTATTATGTATATACATGATTTCCAATTTTCGATTATTCTGTAATACACTTATGCGCGTCGGTAATTTTATGTATTAATCATATTAATGATGTTCAGATTACCTGTAAGATGCAAGCGCATAGCACAATCGCCAATATTTGTATGTAAGCCATCGTTGAGCGTTTTAGTCAGACACAATCGCAGATAAACTCGAGTCGTGGATTTTTATACCCGATTGAAGAAACACATATGAACTGCAAAATTACGTTGGAATAATAATGGTTAACACCTGGCGCGTTAAATTAAATATGGCTTAGTTATTATTTTAATGTTTTAAAGTGTGGAAAAAAAACATACTCAATGCATAAAATTAATAATTATAATATAACGATTAATGGTAAAAATCTTTAATATTCTTTTTTCTAGTTTTACCCCCCACAAAATTTAAAATTATTATTCTTTAGTATTATATACCTAAACTGTAAAAAGTTTTATATCAAAATTGAGCGAATATTGATACAACATAAATAAAATATCCAACATTTCCATTTATTACCTTTTAGATTCTGAGTGGAGCGAAGAAGTTTATGGTTTTACAAAGAATGTTTAATTTTTTTATTTTCTGTAGACAACTTTTCTACCAGAAGACTTGCTCCGATTTTTATGTGTAGCACCTTTTTTTTATTTAAAAATATTAGCATATAGTTACTGCAATTATGATTATACCGGAATCATTGGAATAAATTGAAAACAACTAGTTGTCAACAATATTTTTTAATTTGATTAGCTCTTTGATTACGTCTATTTAAAAATAGCTAATATTTCTGCTATTTTATGCCTCCTCTAGTTTAACTTCTGTGTAAAAAAATAGTAATTTTGGTTACATTTTTATTTTAAATTAAGCTGCGTATTGTTTTTTAACCTTTGCTGTTCTATGATATCTGATTTTTTAAATTGAAGTCGGTCGTATTTACACATAACCTGTGTAATACTCAGAACTCAAAAAAGTATTATATTTATTTTATAGATATTTATCTATTTATTTTTATTGTATATTTATATATTTCATATGTTTTAGGTACATTTAAATATTTTTTAATTCGGAGCGGAGTAAGGGATGTTGTAGCATTATAGTAGTATGAAGGAAATAATTTGGTCAATATGTATCAATCCGTGGAGATTATTATACCAAAATAATTAAAAAGTCATTATATTTTTATTTTTAATAATAATTGATTAGTATTGTATCAGTTTTCCAGTTTTTCCTAGGATTTTCCCGATTTTCCCATGTTTTTCCCAATTTTTCACATGTGCTGAGAAAACTAATAGGAAAATCGAAAAATTACCTATATTTAAGTACCACTCTAAGAAAATTTCCTTTCAGAAAACGATATACATCGTATACTCTCGGAATAAGTTTTCTTTTAGAAAGTGGTCACATAAAAAAATTAAAAAATAAACATCCCTGTAAAACCAGTACATTTTTCACCACTCTCAGAATCTATAATATAACTATGATCTCTACATTTCTTCATATTTCTATATATTTAAAAATATGATATGTAATGTAAAACAGAATTACTTTGTAATCATACGGGGTGGGCCAGCCGGTGTCCAGAATGATTTAAGGGTGGGCAGCGGCCCACCCTGGCTCACGCCTGGCGCTGCTACTGAGCTACAGTAGCTGTATATTTATCATAATATAGGTAACATATATTTTGCGTAACTGATTTTCCTATGACCAAATTTTCCGTTACAGTACCACCCCGCCACCACAAACATCATAGCACATTTTAGATTTTCATCCTTTCACCCTTCAATTTATAATCATTATTTATCGGTTCACTCACCAATAAAACACGAAGGCACACCTGTATAAATTTACTGTATTTATTATAATATTTTAAAAATATTGAAATTGTAACGAACAGTTATTTTATAAATAATATATGTATATAATTTATGTGTATTTGGTAGGCATAAATAATAACTAGTCAATATTTATATTACGTAATACGTTTTACGGTTTGCGTTGTTGATTTTATTGGTAACGCTGATTTACGACTACGCGCGATCTCCTCTAAGATGGACATGGTGGTTAAAATGTTGGTGGCCATACTGTCGTTGATCAATATCATTCCACCCACGTTCAGGGAATTCTTGAACGCCCGGAAGCTATCGCACAGAACCTCTGGGGACGGGTTGAATTTGTCGTCCACGTATTTCTTGACCATGTCCACCTTATTTTTAACCGCACCGCTGTTGACGGCGTTAAAAATCGTCTGCAGAGCTTTCTGGATTGCGACGGTGTCGTACTGCTGCTGTAAGCTCGGGTCATACTGAATGGCCGAGTCGTATAAGTCGGCGACCATGACCTGGAACCCTTTGATGGCAGCTGGGTTCGTCAGTACATCAGCTATTATGTCGTAAGTCCTTATCTGTCTATTTGCGTCTTCCTTGTCGGTGGTCATCCTAACGCGTCTATTAATTACGCGTTGCAGTGAGGACCAAAACGCCGGGCTGTTGAGCACAGATTCCACGGTGTTTCTTACTGACCTCGTGCCTAATTTCCCAAGCCGACTGGCACGATTTATGTCTTCCCAGCTCTTCCAGAACTCGTTACTCACCCTGGTCAGGTTTGGATATTTGGTGGGTTCTACCGTGACGGAAACGTCCGACGTGATTGCATCCTGAAACACAGTGTGAAAACCGCGTGTATTACGAAATTATCTCGGTAAATAAACTGTATACTGTAGCGTATAATCTCGCGATGTTTTTAATCATGTAGAATCTAAATTGTAGATGGAAATCTGGGAGAGGTAGGCTGCTGAAACAAAAGTAACTAAAGGTTTTTAGGGGAATTATAAAGACACATGGAGTAGACGAGGAAATATTGATGAATATAGGAATATTTAGAGGACAATGTGTATACACTGTAGAGCATTCTTTAAACTCTTAATTTTTTTCCACGATGACTTAGCAATAGGTATATTAATTATCGATAATCAAGTATGGGAAGTGCTTGACTGGACAAATAAAATAAAAAATGTAGGTAGTTATTCTATTTCTCATCAACAAATGAACAGTTATAACTCATACTATAATACTATAATTAAATATTAAATAGAAAATATACCCTTGAAATCGTTTTAAAAATTTAAGAAGGGGTGAAAGGTTTCTAAATTGTCAGTTTTCGCGAACCAAAAATTTCGTAAGTGTAAATTATTTGAACTGTCTATATCTGAAAAAACAATCCTGGAAAAACTAATCTAAAAAAAAAAAAAACACATTTTTTTGATGAAGCTAATGCTAGGTGTAACTATAATAATAATTAAAATAATACCCTCGTGTCTATTATTGTAAAATTTAAAATGTACTTTGAATGTACACACAGCGTATTATTTTCACACCGGTCAACGTTGCAAGGTATCGATTCATTCGTTATATCGTTATCACCAGCATTTATGTGAATCTGATAATAAAATTGAAAATCCTGTCATACTACGGAGTACGTGTAAGCATCAAAAAAATATAGGCAAGTTAATTAGGTACCAGCTACTAAGAGAACGCATGCGTGTGCTGTCTACGTCTTACTAACACATGTAATATAGGTAGTAAATTTGCGTTTAGCAGGGATAACTCTTTTAGTGGTGTGTCTATGGGAAAGGGTTGAGAGGGGTATTTGCTTCCACTCCGTGGGCTGTATAATTATACATTGTAATTATTTGTTTTTAGTGTTTTTGAAATTATTTTAATTTTTTTTTTTTATGAAATGATTAATAATATGATAACACGGTCAAATTCATATAGATATTAAAATATTTTTGTTATCTAGGGTCAAAATGGGTCAATATTTTTGATGTCAGGATGGGCCAGGATCGTTTATGCGGGCTTGCACTGTTGCATATTTACCAAGAAATAATTATACCAGTGGGTGATATCATTAAAAAATTCTCTTCTATGAAAAACCAGAGATTAGATTTTGTATTTTAAATTAAAAATATACATTTTTATAGCTAATTAAATAAAAATGTCTTATTTTATGTATTAAAATGTTATATTTTACAAATATAAAAGAGCCCAATTCCCGCAACTATTAATAAAATGTTTGTAGCTATGATGTAATTTGTTTAAAGAATTTTCTATTTTAAGAGTGGGTGAAAATATATTTCGCCCCTCCCTACTCGTAAAAAAGGCTTAGGTACGCCACTGAACTCTATGACCTATGTTGTTAGTTTTAATATTAGAGTGAATTGATCTATTATCAAACTTAAAGATAAAACATATTTAAATTCATCTAAATTTATTAATTGTTAAGTTAGATATGAGTACCTATGTGAAGTATTTAAGAACGCTTATATCTCGCTCAAAAATAAAAATATAGAAAAAATTTACGTAGTTCTTTAAATTTGATAATGTTTCTGCTGAATGCAAATTTGTTATGTCATGTGTTTGATGACGGAAACAGCACACGCGGGTATTGTGGTGTTCTCTAAAACTCCCGTCCACAGCAGGGGCTGATCCAGGACAAGATAATGAGGTGGGCGATTTTAAAAATGCATATAAAGTATACATTTATGACGAGTTCAATGATTAATCAAGTTATAATGCAGCTAAGAGTATATTGGAGAGTGAACGGGGGGGGGCAATCGCCCTATCAACCCCCCTCCCCGGATCTGCTACTGATCCATAGTAACATTTGCCAGCTTTGTATATCTAACGGATAATATAAAATAAAATAGGCTAGAACTGGTTATTAGATGAGATATTTTGAGAGCATACGGAATAGATTAGGAAACATAGCGTGATCAAGTTATGGAGGGCGAAATGAGAATGTCTGATGCCACTTGATTAGGATTAAAACGAAGAGATCATTATACTAGCGAGAGAAACTGGTTGATTTTAACGGACTAACGTAAATAACGTGTATACGTTTTGTCAAAATAAGGAATGCAGAATAACCATTTTCGTCAAAGATAATAAAATTATACACGATTTCTCCGCATTTCATTCTTAGGAGCTACAACTCGGAATAGGTACGCCTCTATCAGACCAAAACATTTTGGCGCATTTATATTTATAATTTATGTAAAATATATACCTAATAAAAATTGTAAAAATGAATATAGTGATTATAATATATAAATGTTCATATTTTTATTTTTAATTGATCATGATGTTACTGTTAAGTTATTGTAACTGTAATCTTTGTAATATTTGATCCATCCTAATTATATTATTGTACCTAATAATTAACAATGGCTCATTTACTCACGTGAATATAGCAATCTTATGTATCACATTTATAAAATCGAATTGACTAATGATTATATTATTTACCAATCATTATTCCAATTTGTAACATTTTAATCGACAGTAGTTGAAATAAAGTAGATTCGTTGAAGTGAAATTTTCTTTATAGATCATGACTGATGTGGTATAAGTGTACATAAACATAATATTAATTTTAAAGAACAGAATCAGTGACAGATTTTCAACAATTTTCTGGAAAGGGTCCTGAAAATGATATGTATTTTAAACGTTTTTGTTAATAGATGCCTTTTTTTAGACGACATTTTATTGAAATTATATCGGTGTCTGGAGGGTTCAGAAGCCCTGGCCACCCCCTCCGTAAATCCATCACTGACAAGAATAATTTTAACGATGCCGATATTTTTTTTTTTTTTTTTATCGAATTCATTCATCAACCAACCATATCCAAGGTAAAAATAGTATAAATTTCTGAGCTCTTTTTTGATTCAATTATTTTATATTGTTACCTAATTATAGAATTACTTATTAATTATATAATTATTATTATTATTATTATTATAGGTTTTGAAGGTTCCAAATAGTATAGTTATTCTAAAGATAAATAAAATTAACTATATTTATAGTATGAGGTTGTAAAATTGTAAGTTTAAAAAGACGGATATACCTCACACGTGGATGGGTGACTGTTGTAGGTGAGAATTTGAAAAGGTAATAGAAGGGAAATTTAATGTAAATTTGTACGCAATGATTAATCGTTGCTATGGAAAAACGATTCTGAGTGGAATTCAGTTGATATTGTTGCTTTGTCAATGATATATGTATCATATTATGGTAAAATAATACATATGCATATGCATTATATATATTTTTTAATAATATTTGTTTAATATTGTACCTACCTATTTTCCCGATTACCCTATGGTTTTTCAATGTTTTTTTACATTTATTGGGAAAACTTCTGATTAAATAAAACTTTTGAAATTAAAAAATGACCTCCTTAAAGTACCACCCCAGTAAGATTTTCGTTTAGAAAAAGTGCAATCATTGCAAATCGGAACAAAATTGCTAGTAAAAAAGTTGTTCACAGATATTAAAAAAAAATAAAAATATAAACATCATTGTAAAGCCATTACATTCCTCGCTATACTCAAAATCTAAACAATTACAATTTTGAAAACACCAAAACGTTTTTAAGTCAAAAAGTTTAGGTAATCATAGGCATAGGAAATATTGAAAATTTTTTTCCGTGGTCATATTTCCTTCTATTATAGAGGAATATTTAATTATTTTAAATTATTGCCTATTTTGATCATAATTTATAATGGCAATAATGATTGTAATAATAAATTAGTAATCGTAGGCAATAATGCCAAAATAAAAATTACTTATGGAAAAATATCTAATTTTTTTATCAGGCAATTTGGGTTTACAGTCAAAAAACCATATGTCCAAATATTCTATAAATCACATCTACAACTTAAAGGCTCTAATATACATATATCGTTTTTTTTAGTCTTGCATATTTTTGACATGTTTATAATTCTGACTATATGTATTAATATTATATGTACAAATAATATGTAAATGATATTGGTGTTATGCATATTATAGTAATAATTACCTGTAAGAAACAAGAGCACAGCACAACCGTCAATAATTGGATATAAGTCATCATCGTAGTTGAGCTTATTAACATAATAATTTGTTGGCACGGTACAATATCAATAGATTTTTATACCCGACCGTCGATAGGTTGATAGTATAGGACATAGGTACTATAACCGTCGCCGTATGGCTAACACCTGTCGAGTTATAAATACCGTAATTAAGGTAAATGTGGTAAAAATTGCGAAAAAAAAAATATATTGTTGTCCAACCACCGCAATGGTGCGTTCGCCAAATTCGACATGTCTGCGTAATCGCTTCAACCGGGCATATTATATTATTGTTTAATACGGACGTTTTAATACGACGTCGATAATTATGTACAGCGAAAACAAAAAAAAAAGTCTGCTGTCGAGTATTCACAGCGTATTAATTATGTATAATAGTCGTGCGTATGGGGTGTAAATGTGTGATGGTAAATGCTGCACACCCTGCGAACAATAATTATTCTGCTTTTCAGTGGCACTAAACATGTATACACCTATATTATATGTAGTAGCTACTTCAGCGAGTATACCAAGTTCAATTGAACTGGGACGCAAAATTGGTGAGTGGGTAAAAAAAATCAGACTTAAATTTAATCCATATACACTGTACCTACAGATCTACACTAAACATTTTTTTAAAACAAGTTTTAAGAAATCCATTTACAATTCGAACAGATAACGAAACATTTCGACCGGATATTTTCGTGGAAAGATAAAAAAATATTTATCTAAAGATTTAATATGTCGATGAGAAGCATGAATGTAATATCATATCATATGTTAATACGTCATAAGTGTAAAATAATTAGTTTTTGGATAAGGATGGTAATTTTATTTACAAATAATTTTAGTATGGAAAAAAGAAATAGAAAATAAAAACTAGGTGACATATAATATTTAGATCTAGATATATTAGATTTATCTGTTATCGCCAGAAACAATACGATGTATGAGTTAGGAGAAACAGGACAATACAGCTAATGGCAATGAGCAGTTATATAGGTGAGGTTGAAATTTTTAGGTAGGTACCAAGAATCTTTTATATAAAAAATGTACAAAATTGGCAAATAAATTGGGAGGGAGAGATCTATGTTCTAGGAAATAGGGACTTGTTTTTTATTAGCCTAAGAGCACCATTTTGGTAAATCCGATCCTGCCCGTCCTTAAAGTATCACCTTTTTTTTTTTTATAGGTGGGGGTACTTAAAATGAAAAAATTCAAAATATCAATTTTGTAAAATAGACTTTTAGAACATTTTTGGTGATTGAAACTTTACTTAAAATACTTTATTGTCTGCAATTTTTGGAAGATTTTTTAAATATGAATATTATTGTGGATTATAATCTATTACAATATCTATTCAGTAGTCAGAGCTATTATTATATGAAATTAACTTTCGGAAAAGAAAAGCCTTGTCTATACAATATTAGATATATTAGAATAAATCTTATAATAAGCCACAATAGCATTCACACTGACAAAAACTTTAAACAAATTGTAGAAAATGTTATACTACATCAAAACAAAAGTTTCAACTACCAAATATTTTTTAAAAATCGACCTATTCTAATAAATGACTACTTTTAATATTTTTATTTAAATATCCCTTACCTAAAAATATATACAATTTATAGCGTAGAGGCATACTAATTATTTAAAAAATATACATTAAAAGTATTGAATAGAATTATAGTTATTTCGCGTGTCAGATTATCGAGGTTTTATGTGTAATTCGCACACATAAAACTCATAAAATATTATTACTAATAGAGTACAGATTTCCCGAGTGACTCGATTTAGTAGACGGACTAGAGCACTCCGGTCGCGAATAATATTGCACGTATTTGCATTAGGTATTTAGTTACTTACCTCCATAATATAATAATTTATGGTTGCAGTTAACTTTTATTTGACACGCGACTTAAATATTAAACAATTAGCACTCTCTCCGGAACATGATTAACCGAAAAAATGATGATGTCCTAAGCCATGGTTAAATTATTCCGTGCAAATAAGTCACCTACATGTCATCATCTCTCTTTTTACAATGTCCTGTACCAACCGTGATCAAGATGACTTAAATACACAAAGGCGCAACTTGACATTTCCATTAGGTTAGGTCCAAATATTACACTTAAACCGCTTTATACAAAAAAAAAAAGGACGACGACCATTGGCATTAGGGCAAGGTTCAATCGTCGTCAATAGTTTCGTTTATGTAGGTAGGTACTTATAATATTAAAATAAAACGATTTAGACAACCAGGGTAAGTTACTAGAGGTGACAGCAACTATTTCTTCAATTTTCCTCTGATTTCACCTTTGCATGTACAACATCATTTGTGTCTATAAACTTTTTATCAGAAATGTTGCTTAAAACAAAAAACTATAAACACCATTTTTGTTGCATTTTAGGACTAGTAGGTAATTAAATTTTTTATTTTTTATTTTCTATGCAGTTTTCATAATAATTGGAATGCAAAATAAAAATTGAGGCATTACTATTTCATTATTTTAAATTTTTATGTTTTGGGCGGTCTTCGTTTTGCTTATCACTGTTGTTGATTTTGACCTTTTTCACAAGACAGTTGCGCACCGTTCAAATTTTGTGTTACACATCATTTGCGCATCAATATTATTTAACAATAAAACTGAAAAAGGTGTATTTACCCGAAAACTTAAGTTGTTTTCTAAGCTTAAAATTCACACATCTCTAAATTTATTATTCAATTTTTAAATATTGTATAGGTAATTAGTTAGGTTTCATTTTGTAAAAATAATTGGACATTACAATATACCAAGTATTGCTTTATAATATTATTTTTAGTGATTAATTTATTTATACATTTATTATTAACATATTATCAATTAATTTTTATTCAAACTATATTATGTATTTATTTTGTATTTTAACTATGACTATAATGTGCCTAATTCAAATGAATAAAATTTATTTTTATTTCATTTTTACTCAAATAATCAAATTTATAATAGATTAATTAAATCTTAAATTTTTAACGACAGAATAATTATACACACAATTTGAACTTTAAATGCTAATTTAACCAAAACTTGTGTCTATATGTTATTTTACACCCTTCTATTGTTCGATACATTGATGTGCATATGATGTATGATAATTTGGTACAGGTAAACAGATAATGCGCAAACGATAATCAACCGTTGATGTACAAGTGATATATAATATTATGGCACAGGTAAACAGACAATTGTGTAAATGCTTTACAGCCTGTTTTCTACCCAAGAGACCTTTTTTGTTGCATTTCAGATCTAGTTGGTTAGTAAGCATGTTGTAGTTTAATATTCCTAACCAAACAAAATATCATAATACAAACGAATGTATGGCATTAACAGTTTTGTTATTATTGATTTTAATTTTTTTTGTAGTAAATTAATTACAAATTATCATAGAGAGCTGAAATATTTACAGAACACTTATATTAGCCTTTTCTAGATACAATCAAATTAATATTTTAATTTTTGATTGAATCCATAAGCATTTTTTTTGTTTTTTATTTGGTAGATATTCTGTGGATAAAATTGTTTTATTAAACATAAATGTTTAAAAATTTAATTTGAAGTTCATTAACCCATCACCACTTGCATTGTTTCCGTTGCCGCCTTTGCTCGCACGGGGTATTTTTTTTCCAAGTTTTATTTAACAAAATTATATTATAAAAGGTAAGTCTGTTTATATTAATTATTAAATAAAAAATAAGACACTTGTATCATAATACATTATAAATGTATTATGATCACTAACTTTCAGTTAGTGTTCCTGCAGCATTTTCATCATCTGACACACCACTCTAAACTTCATCATCACTGATTGCATCAAGGTGTTTTCTATACATCCTCTTTCAAGTTTGCTCATTTTGAATTTTAAAAACAAGAAAAAAAACTTAGAATGAATTAGTCACAAGGTATAAATCATTCCCAAACACTGACGCTATCACTTTATGACATTCTAGCAAGTGAACAAAAACCAAGTTAACATAAGACCGGTCACATTATATCTATAAACATGTTGTTTGAAGCTATAGAAATGTATAAACATATATTTTCACGATATATTATCATAAAATTATAAATAAAAAAAGCTGGGGTCATTATTCACCCCGTGAGGGTGATAATGGGTTAACAGTTTATCTTAGTGGTAAAAAAAAAGTTGAGAGTAATGCAGTATTTTTTTCATTTTTATAATCGTTTTAAAGATAAAATTTTGATGAAATCGTAAATATTATGATACATAAAAATATGTATCACACTTAGCTCAGAAACTTTTTTAAATAATTAAAAATTTTGAACATGTTACTTAACAATGAAATGTATATAATATAGACCTAACTTTATTTTTAAAACATTGAACTACCTAATTATTTATATAAACTGTGTCTGTCAAAACAAACAAATAAGTAAGTTTATTTTTCTTACTTTGGAATTCAATTATTTACTTACAAATTTTGATTAATAATTGACTATGGTGTACAAATATTACAAAATAATTATTTATGATGTATAGAAATATTTTTTTGTAATAAAAACAAAATCATTTATTTTTAATATAATTATACATTCAATTGAACCCATTTTATTGGTGTAATAGGCTACAGTACAGCCTTTTTAAAAATAATAATATATATAATATTCTCTACAATGAACACAGTAAGTTTCGTTTCAAAATTCATTAAAATATCTGTACAAGAAAATTAAATAACTTGAAAGTATATGCTTTTCATAATGCTGTATTATTATTATTATGTTTACATCATTTTTATATTCTCATAACAATATACAATGTAGGTATGATTAGGTAAAAATATTAACATTAATAAAAAATATGGAGCTTGAAAAATCACAAAGTTTAAAAACCATTAAAACTATGAGATATTTATAATATAAATATAAGGTATTAATTTTATAAGAATATTAATATCAATTTACTGTTAGTGTAAAATTGTTTTAACCTCCCATTCTATACATTTGATATAGATTGAAGAAACTACAATATTATGTATTCATCACATGTTCAGATTTGTATAAAACATATTTAGTATGTAACACAGTATTCTAGATTAAATAATATTATAAATTTAGTCCACTAAAATAAAATTAAGGTCTAAGCATAGTGTAATTAAAAAAAAACCTAATTATTTTAGATAATAATAATGGTAGCAATGTATGAATATTATAATAGTACAAACATGTTTGTAATCATCATTCATTCACAATGTATTTCACTTAATATTAGAAAAATATTTATAAACTTAATATTGCGCCACTAATATTAATATGTCTCATTAGTATATAATAATAATTACCATAAAAAAAGATTGTTAACAAATATTTAAAGCCTATTCAAGACATTTATAACTGGGTTCTCATATAAGTATTTTCTACTGTTGCCATTGATTATAATCAAAGATCCTGATGTGCCATCAGTTCTAAATTTTATGTTAATAACATTTGCTTGAAATTCTTCCATAGGCAGTACTATTAAAACCCAGACTAATATCATAAAATTATCTAATTTTAATTAATTACATTTTAATAGGCAACTAAAACAACTTAAATAGAAATAATAATTTAAAATAAAACATTGGATTAATAATTTAGCTAAATAACAATAACCCTAATGGAAGATAAAGAGAAAACAATATAGGTAAACTTAATTGATTTTATCGTAATACAATTGAAAACTTCGTCAATATCATAGTTTTATTTAAAAGAGAATTATTTCCATTATATGCTGGCCAAAATGGAAAATTAATATTACCCCAAACGTATAAAATGTTGAATGTTACTTACAATCAGATAAATCTTGGCTAATTATCCTAATAATAATATACATTTACTACCCAAATATAACATCAGTAATTGAACGGTTCAAAATCTTATTGGAAAAAAAAAAATTATACATATTCAAATTCTATTTAAATCATATAACTAAATAAATTATACAGTTATAACATTTTTTCCAAATATAGAAATAAAACATTTTTAACAGCTTTTGTGAATTTTATCCTTACATACTAGAAAAATAGTAAAAATAATTCATTTGAATTAAGTGCCAATGAATTACAAAAAAAAAAAACCTAAATAAAATTTGCTAAATAATAGGGCTACAAGTTAAAAGTAGCCAAGATTTACCAGATTAAATTAAGTGTCTCATTCTAACCGAGGTAACTATGATTGGTTTGGAAACATGTCTCTTCTAAATATATTAGGTACCCTAGAATAAATAAGCTGTCAATAATTATTAACAAAAGCAAAATTAGTTATTTACCTAGTTAATTAAATTTGAGCCGGTATACTAGACGTGGAAGCAACTTCCATCATCTCATCTTGGTTTTGATTCAGGAAATTATTATTGCTAATTGTGGTCAACACATGAGGTCTATACGGTTTTCGCTCATCAAATAACCTCGATTGGTCTGTTAGCCTGCCCTGTTGCACAATTCGGGGTTGATCTACAGGTACTGGATTGGATCTAGTTACCAATGAATATGGTGCTGGAGAAGATGGTTTTTCAGTATCCATTTGTTCATCGATTCTAGTTGCAGAGAGCTGAGCACAAGTCGATGCAATTGGTTCAAAATCACTGAATGGATTAAGATTCCGTGGCACTTGCTGATTATATAAAATATAAATATAATAAAATATAAATATAATAAAATACTTATGTTAAGTATAGTTTGTAAAATATAAATAAGTACCCCACGATAAAATTGGTCAATAGGCCTTTTAGAATCGCATAATCGAGCAGCCGGAACTACAGTAGGTGTCGATTTGTGAATTCTCGGGTCAAGTTTTTGTTTTTTCTGCAATAAAGTCTTTGGAAAATGATCCTCTTCATCTAAATGTTTTTCCATGTCTTCTGTTCTCAGATGTATACCTCCTGATGTATGCTCACAGCTCGTACTCATACCCAGACTATCTAATAATGATGGGTCTATATACGTAAAACCCTGAAAACAAATATAATAGTAATAATAATAAAATGGTGGGTAATTAAAAACCATTATTGTGATATATTAAATAACTTTTTTTTCAGAAAATGTTTCTCTTAATTTAATTAAATGTTTTACTTTGTATTTGATGTAATTAATATATCACTTTAATTTGTTATACAGTAAAATCAATTTGATGGCAAATCAGAATGATTGTATAACACGGGATATACAAATAGTTACATCAAATTTAAATTCATCATTATCATGTGGCAATAATGAATCTTCTACAGGTGAATCAACTGGTAGCTGATTGGTAAATCTAGAATCAAATTGTGTTGTATCATCTGCACCATTCTAATAATAAAATAATCATAATAAATAAATTAAACTATAAATACTAAAATGTCAGTAAGATAAAAATGAAACAATTTGACTTACTAATTTTGGCTTATATGGAGCTTCACAAGTACGATTTATTATGTCTTTCCAGATAATTTTTTGGAAGAAACGATGACTTCGTATGTCTTCACCCTGATTTGGACCTGATCCCAACCTATGGCTAACTTGTCTCTGTAAAATTAGAAAGTTAGTAAATACATTATTTTTAATAAAAAAATAATATTGTTTTATGCATACTTTTAGCAATTTTCTCATAAGATCTTTAGCTTCAGGTGATACATAAGGTGGCATTATTAGTTTTCCTCTAAGGATTTTTTCAATTGTTTTTTTTCTATTATCTGCACTAAATGGTGGCTAAAATATTATAAACACGTTAAAATTATAATATATTATTTCAATAATAATAATACAAATACTTACAGTTCCTGTCAGCATATCAAACATAAGTGCTCCAAGTGACCACCAATCGACTGGTTTTCCATGTCCACTCCTAGTTAAAATTTCTGGTGCCCTGATACAAGTAATTAATTTGCATGGCATATTAAACTTTCTCTAAATTTCATGTACAATTAAAATTTCTTACATGTATTCAATTGTACCACAAAAAGTATGAGTTACACTACCTCCATGAACATGTTCTTTACATAAACCAAAATCAGTCAACTTTAAATGACCATCTTGATCTAATAATACATTTTCTGGTTTCAAATCTCTGTATACAAACACAAAAAATAATAATAAAACATGAGTTATGCTTTATAATTTACATATAAATAGTATAAATATTTAGTTAAAAACATAATTGTGTATTAAATGTAACATTTTGTTACATTTAATACTTAGAAGTAAGAACCAGCTTATACATATGACCATGGATGAGAATCCAGTTAATTAAAGATCACTGGGGAGTTGTTGTTTGAGGTGAGAAGATGAAATTAGACACTAAATGGAGAATCAGATTGAAAATCACGAACAGCTGATAGATAACAAAGATTGGAGAACTGAATTTGTGGCAAGGTGGTCTTAATATCCAATTGACCTCTCCAAAAAAGAAGATATATTAAGAAATTAATTATCTATTGATCATAAACAATATTATTTATTTTTCAAATTTATAAATATTTATTAGATACATTTTTAGTAAATGAAAAATACTTAAAAAAAAAAAAAAAAAAATACTTAAATCAAAAATACTTGGATTTAAAACTGACAAAAAAACTATATTCCATAAATTACTTGAAATTTTATAGTTTAAATAAAATAGAACTTTTTCTATTCTATTTCAAGATTGTTATAATATTTTTCTTAGTAAAATACTTATTACATTGTTTTAAGGATATTAAGATTAATAATACAAAAGGGGACACCTACATTGCCTATGGGGCAGTTTAACAGATATTCATACTAGATAGGTAGGATATATTGGTATATTCTACAAATAGAGAAAAAAGATTACATTTTGAACATCAAAATAATAACATTATAATTCATTAGATATTTAAATATGATTAATATTATTCTGGGGATTTCAATTTATTTAAAAACATGTATTATAAAAAATATCTTCTAATATCGGAGATTGTCACACTCAATATGAATCAGAGCACCTTTGTGATAATTCTTATAATATATAAATAAATATATTAGTGGTAATTTTGATTGGTAGGTACCTGTAAATTATGCCTTGACTGTGCAAATGCTGTATTGCAATAATAATTTCTGCTAGATAAAAACTGCAATATTAAAATGATAATACTTGGGTTAGTACAACAATAATTAACAGAAATAAAATTTAAAAATTTAACCAATTTCTTTCGTAGGTAACTGTAAAACCTTAATGAAACAATGACAGATTCTTATAACTTAAAATATTATGCTACTTTAACACTTTATTTTGCATGTACTATATATTATGTACGATCTATACATGCCATGACTACTTATATTTTATTTTATTACAATTAGTTTTATATAAAATAATGATTAAATGTAAAATATACATATATAAATTATTTTTTAAATAAATTAAAAATTTCTATAAAATTTTTTAGTTTTGTAAAATTAATTTAAGCTTATTTAGAACAAATCAAAAACAAAAATATTAGGCGGTCTAAAGAAAACAATTATTTTGGGGTAAAATATTTATTTGAAAACATAGGTACCAGTACATACAAAATGCAGGTCAAGGTTGAGGCAGTTTCTTCAGTAGGTCAATTTGGCATGGAATGACCTATTTATTATTCTATAAATTATGAAATCTAACGAGTTATATTAAATTGATTACACCAGTTACACTTAATATCATCAACCACAATTGACTATTAATATTACTTAAGTTGAATTAGTACATCAAAAGTACTATAATCAATAATAATAATCATCATTAATATTCTATATACATACGATCAACATTGTTCTATGGGTTTTACAATTACTAAATATTATTTATAAATAAATAAATAATAAATAAAATTTACCATGCTGTGTCTTCTAAAAATATGCCTTCTCGTTCTAAATGCATGAATAGTTCACCACCACTTAAATATTCCAAAATAAGATAAAGTTTTCCGTTTGTTTGGAATGCATAAAATAAACTGACTATAAATGGATGCTAAAAGTATGTAAAAATTGAATATTAACTTAAAATTTAAATCAAAAACACAAATAAGATTGAACATTTTAAAATGTATTATTTTATAAATAAAATTGAACTTGAACCTTAACAGCTTCGAGTATATTACGTTCTGCTTTAGTGTGAGCCATATCCTTGGAATTCCTTACAATAGTTGCCTTACGTAATACTTTCATGGCAAAAATACGGTTTGTATCTTTACCAGTTTTTTTGCGAACTTGAAACACTTTTCCATAACCTCCTTTTCCTAATACTTTCAATATACTGAAAGATTCTGGAGTTAACTTTTCTTTAGTTTGGTTTACAGTTTTGTCCGATAACTTTAATGTTTCTACATCACTAGACCTAATAATTTAAACAACATACATACATTCTATTAATAAGAATTAATTAGAGAATATCTAAATAAAATATCTATTTTGTTTAAATACTAATAAGACTAAAGTATAAAATATTAAGCAATATAAAATATATTAAGTGTATATAATGTATATAATGGAAATATAAAACCTCTCAGATAGTATTACTTTTTTCATTATTTAATTTTTATTTTTGAAAATTAATGAAGAAGCAACTTTAAAATGTTTCATTACCATTATTTGTTTAACCCCTTAGTTTTGGTGTTAGCAATATTAGTAATATAACAAATTTTATAAATAGATGAAGTCTTTATTTTAATACATTTTGGAATTTTTGATTTCTGTGAACCCGTCAATGAAATATTCCACTTTTAAATTCGGGTAGGAATAGAGTAGTGGACCATCCATTTGTGTGATGGCACGGCGCACAGTGTTTGAATAATACTTACTAGTCTCTCCTTACTAAAACTTAAAAATGGAATATCTCACCAGCAGGTTGATTGGTATCAAAAATAACAACACCAAATGTATTTAAACTTCTTTTTGTTGAGCCCAATTTTAAAATCCCAATTATAATAGTAATAATAATAAAAAAATAAATAAATAAAAATGTAGATAAATATTTAAAAAAAAATATTAATTAATTAATTTGATAACAAATTTAGTAAAACTAGTAAGAATCCTATACTTCATAATGTATTAAATGTTGTACTGCAACCAGTAAACAGTCAAGTATTTATATTAATACTACATTTATTAATGGAATTTTAAATCTAGGTTGTCATTTGTAAATCAAAATTAAATAGGCTTTTCACCCCCCAAAAATAGATAACAAAAACAATCGTTATAAAACATTTTAGATTTGCTTGTTTCTTAAATTGTTAAAACAAATACTAGAAAAAATTAATATTTTCCAATACATCACATATTTTTGATAGACACTGTATACAAAGTGATTATTTTTATCATGAATCAGCAATTATCTCAAGAGGATTTTAAGTGAATTTGATTTCTGTTTTTTCTAATCATTATAGAATCGTTTAAGCTTTATTTTAAAACTTTTTTTAAATTTTTTACTCCTTCTCCATATATCTTAAATAAGTACATACTTTTGATTTTCAAATAGGAACCTCTCCCACTTTTTTTAACACAGATTTGAATAGAGGATATTTTTGTAAAAATTTTGATATACACAACACTAATATCAGATTTACTGTTTATGAGTTATAACAGTTTAAAATTTAGATCAGAGAAGTAGGGAAAGATTCTGTTATAACTCATAAACGGTAAATCTAATAAGTGTAATGTATATCAAAATGTCTACAAAAATATTCTTTATTCAAACCTGTGTTCAAAAGAGGGGGTTCCTATTTGAAAATCAAAAGTATGTACTTATTTAAGAAAAATGAAGTAGGGGTAAAAAATAAAAAATGGTTTTAAAATAAAGCTTAAACGATTCTATAATGATTAGAAAAAACATCCTGTATATACTATTTGTATTAACATACTAAGTTTGTGAAAATATCTACCTATTGGATTAGACTAAAAATAATAATAATTAAATAGTAGGTAAACACTTAAGAAAATAGGTATTTAATGGATTGGATTTTACTAGACAATATTTAATGCTATTACCCAATAGTTAAATTTAAAAATCAGTGACGGACTAAACAAATATTAAACTTAAATAGCCAATTAAATGTCAATTACAATCAATAATCTTTCATAGTCTACTAGGTATTTTCTTAGTTTCCAGGTAACATATCCCCCACTATTACAAAAATATTGTTCAATATAATAGGCCATTACTAATGTTGAATATTTAAAATACAAACTACATAATTTTATATGACCAACCAGATTTAACAATAAAAGAAACGATCAATAGATATAAGATATTAATACTTTAGATATTTCTAAAGTTAATGTTTTGAAAAATAATATATAATAATAATAATAATAATAATAATAATAAAAATACTTAATACAAAAATAATTTGTGTAAACTTTAAAATACAATCTTACTTTTCGTCATAGTCATAAATGTTTGGTTCTTGAGCATAACATGCCTGTTAAACAAAATAATAATTAGGTATTGAAAATAAATTAAAGATATAGAATTAAAAAGAATTATTACAATTTATAAATAATAATAATAGGTTTATTTTCTTATTTATATTTATATAAAATCTAAACTCTAGTAAATTTATTACATGATCCAGTTTGAGGTCCAGATACACAATTAAGACTGAATAGTTATAAATATACCTAAACAATATTTTTTTATTTACAGAATTAATATTCAAATCATAATTCTTTTTCTTTTTTTTAATTATTTATATCAAAACATTAACAAAAATACTATATTGGGAATAAAAATTAACATTTTTAATATGTATCTAAATCAAATAATACTTATTATTATTCAATATGAAAATTTTAATTTATTTGAAGAAAATGCTGTTTCTGAATTTGTATATTAAAAAATTTAACTTTAACATCATAGTCAGAATAAAATTATTGGAATAAATACATAAATTAATTAGGTAGTTAATAGTTTCAATTGTTTTGATATTATTATCTTGGTAATAAAATAAAATAGATTCAAAAAATATTAATGAAATTGCATAAATCATTTATTTAAAAAAAAAATAATAGGTCGATAAGTAAAGTTGCTGTAGATTTAATGAAACTTATAAAACTTTGGTAGCTTAAGGATACAAATATTAAATGCTAATAATTGGTGTAAAAGCAATAATCTGATTTTTATTTTTTTTTTTTTAATTAAGACATTTCTAGCTGATTATTTAAAAACATAGGAAATAAATAATTTTAAAAATGATTAGGTAATTTTATTTTAACCTACTTGATAATGAAATTAATCATAAACCTAATAGAATAATAGACATTAATTTATTTACCTTATTTAGCAATTTTAAAACAAGTAATTCATACCAATGTTAATCTAAGTTATAGTTGGTAGGTATATCAGAAATTTAGAATTTAAAAAAATGTATATTGTTCAAAAGGTAAATTATTTTATTTTGTATTTCCAATACATTTACCAAATTTGTATATAATGGTGACCTACCTAAATCTTGCACAGGTTTAGGACAGGCTATGTCATAAACACAGTAGGGTTGATCCCTGTCACTTTTGTTAGTTGGCCAGCTTAGCCAGGCCAACAAAAATTAAATTAAATTTAAACATGCCAAGCCGAGCTTAAATTGCAATAATTCTAACAGTTTCATTTACTTAAAGTAAATTTAAAATTTAAATCAAACAAAATTAAAACAAGGTTTGGCCTTATCAAATGTTTAAGTAAATGATTTGGGTTGAGCTAGATCTGGTCAAATGTTTTAGTAAAACGATTCAGACTGAGCTTGACATTCAACATAATTAACCGGGTTGGGCAAGTAATGTTTTTAATTTAGGCGGGTTTGGGCAAGTACTTAACTAGGTATATAGCTACCTATTTATTTAACAAAGCAATTTACTATAGACAATTGATAGTTTATTTATTCAATATTTGTGGTATTGGGTATGTTATAATTGTATTCTTCATGCTGTTTAAATAGCTTTTTATTATATGGAATTTTATGATTCTATGTATAAATATATTTATTTTAATCAAATGCAATATTAATTGATAAATCATTATTCATTAGCAATTAGTAATTACTTTTTAGATAAATACAATAAATGTCAACAGTCTGTACTTAATAGTTGTAAAAAGAATCAAGGTCAATAAGGTTATATTGGATACTGATAGTGATTTTAATTTTGAAAGATGTGGTAATTGGAACCTAATCTGTTCTCAAATCCTAATGTCATCCTAAAGTGTAAAATACATATAATATACCTTTTTCTGTTCAACAATCTTATCTTTTTCTGTATTAAAATGTAAGGTACCAACATAATATGTATGTAAACTTAATACTTTAGAAAATAATAATATTGGATTTTCATTATGTCCGTTAACCTAATGATAAAATAAAATGTTGATGGTTATACTATAACCTATAACATAAAATAGATATTATATGGAATCTATTATCTGATACAATTAAATAAATACCTATAATAGATACTTAGTTGATATTTATATAACAATGACAAATTAAAGAACAAATTTTGAAAATATGTATGAAAAAGTTTGATAAAATATGTACCTATTAAATAACAAAATTAAATGTACTATTTATTTTAAAAAATATGATCAAATATAGTAAATAGGATATTTAACAATTTTGTATATATTATTAATTATTAAAATAAATTCAATTTTTTTTTATAGTTAACTTACATTATACACGCATCTATTTAAGAACCTACCAATCTATATATTTTTTAAATAATATTTAATAAATTTAAACCTATTCTAATAATTGAATTGAGTTAATAACTTCTAACTTATTTATTTTCATTATGAAAATGATGATTAGCTATTTTTTAAAAGATTAATGAAAACATCTTTGATAACTTTACAGCAAGTTAATCTGTAATAAGATACATATTTACACTTCATAATATTGTGTTTTTATAATATTGGTGACTAACAAAACTAATTACTAAATAGACACATGCCACACGAATTTCAACATAACAACAAAAAAAGCATTTAAAGATTAATAAATTGAAAGTAGGTATACAAATAATTTAGGAAAATAATAAAAATATAATAGATTTGGTATTTAAAAAATGACATTAATAGCCATATACATATTCCCTGATAATAAAGTATCGAGTTCGGAATTTTATGGTCATAAGATAAAATAATTGTTTTCCATGAAAATTGACTAGAACCTAGTCTGTACCTATTGAGTAGGTACAGGCAATTTTAAAATTTTGAATTGATATTTACATTATTTTATCACTAGATATACCTTGGTACAATAGTCAATATTTTTAGAGACGTTCAAAACAGTAAAATATATTAAATTTATCTCATAACAACTTGGAACCAATTTGAAAGATTTCTGTTTTATTGTATTACATTTAAATAGTTCGGTAGGTACCTATCTACCAAATCTATTTAGATGACCATTAAATATTCCTATAATGGGCAGATTTTCATTTTCAATTTATTTTTCATTATGTGCCTGCCATAAAATCAATACCTGTATTAAATATTGGTAGGTAATATTAAATTAAAAAAATATTAAATCTCTCATTACTGTATTATTATACAGTAGGTAATATTTTCTTTATAATACAATTATCTATGTAACCTCCCTAATATCTATCTAAGAAATATTATTTAATGACACAGGTAATCTTTAATATAGGTAATTAACTATTAGGGACTATTAGTATAGTATATCAACATTAAATAATTATTACATATTAAATGTATAGGTAATGTGGAAATTTCTATACATACCTAACCATAAATGTTATTTTCAAAGGATAAACCAACTCATATTTAAATACCTAACTACCTATTTAACTATTACATTGTTACATTTATGTAGTGAATTATTCACTAATATTATAGTTTTCAAATAATTCAAGACTTATGTACCTATCTATTAATTTTTAATCTGAATTTAAAAGAAAAAGTTAATTTTCCAAAAAAAACCCTTAAAAATATAAAAAGTATGGTTTTATCTGCTTAAGTTTAAAATTAATCAAGCACATTAAGAATTATTAACATACACTTAAATTAAATAACATCTGAATATATACTTAAATCATTATCACAATTATAATATTTCATTAGTAGATATCTATAATTTTTAATTATTCTCAAATTGTCAAGTTATTATAGTGGTGTTTAGACAGATAGTACCTATATACTTGGTTTAAATGTATTTTGGAAAAAGAAGGTTTCAAATTTTTATTAAAATAGCATCTAAACAATTACTTAATTTATTATCACAATTATTGTATTTTAGTAGAGTTATTATACTTCATAAGGCTATAACTCATAGTTGTTCAGTTATTCTAGAGTAGTGGTATTTTGGTGTGTTTGAATGTATTTTTAAAAAAAAAGGTTATACACTTTTGGCTATCTTACAAAACTTGGTACTTAGGTCTGGGAATCTAGTTCAGCGAACAGGTGAGAAAATGCTCGTTGCGCCGCTTCCCGCATTGAAACTATGGGTCGGTGTTTTGCATTATTATTATCATTTACTAATGTTAAATAAAAACGATAAATTACTAATGATAATGCCTCGGATAATGCTGAAGATTGTTTCTAAATAAAGTCCAGCTTTTTAAGAATCTGATAAAATACTTTTATTTACCTATCAAACAGTTTGTAATTCTTGTTCTTTTCTTCCTTCGTTCGAACTATTTGGAGTCGCCCACCCTACTATTAAATTTCATTTGGCCCAATTTCCCACCTCCCATACACTAACTGTCTTCATATATTCTTAATTGTATTTAATCACAACATTTTTAGTCTACTCCTCGATCTCTTTCCTCCCGCGATTATATTTATTACAATGTTTACTGCTTCAGATTTTTTTCTAACCGTGACATGCCCAAACCAACGCAGTCTTTTTCTTTCATTTTGTCTATTATCGAAGCTACACCTATAGGTAACTGATGTAAAAATGACATCATATTATATTTATTTTACTTATACATTTTTTGGTATTAGCCACTAATAAAAATTGTTTGTTATTTATTTTTCATATTTTCAAAAACTATTTAAACATTAGACAGCCACTAATTTTGACCAGTGGGCCATGGACTGTCTATTCCGCCACTGCCTAGTAGTTGCATAATAAATTGAAACGAATCAATTTAATATATAACTTAATAATAATAAAAAGGCACATGTAAAACGCATGTATATTTAAGTGTGTTTTGATCCCTGTGTATGTGTGTGCGTGTGGTAAGTACAAGCACGGAAGGTCAAATCACAGTTATAAAATAACTATTTTGACAGCAGTAGATAAACCTAGAAGAGTATTTCTATGGATTTATGAATGATCCACAAGTGGATAATACCTAATAGTTTACGAGACTTAAGATTTTAAGTTAAATTAATGCAACAAAACAAAATATGATTGTGATGTTTAGAGCACGGCAATCGAGAGAAGGCTACAGGTTTCAGTGTACCGATGTAGGTACTCATAAAAATAAATGTCGACGAACTTTACCTCTTCGATTTCCAAAAGTTCGTCATCGGAATCGCTGTTGTTTTTCTGTCCGCGTTTGGAACTCTCGCCGTGTTGTATTTCTATGTCGAAAACGTCGACCTCGGCCATGACTATAATATGGTTGCGGAAGTATTTTTTTTCTATTCACGTCTCGCGTGTCGATTATATTTATTATTGTTATTGTTGAAGGCTTAAGCGCTAATTGTAGCGCGGGCCTCGAAAACGCGTCAAATGCGCGTCGTTTGCGAAACGGACGACATGACGCCGTTTTGTATATCTAGTGAATTGAAATGTGAAAAAAAAAACGTGCGAACAAGTATTAATTAACGGATATAGCCGATAAAACACACAGAGTAAAAAATATACGTACGCAGTAAATCTAATATTATGTCCGGATAAAATCGCACGAAAAACAAAAATTATATTATCCAATGTTATCGTATTTTAATATTATTACTACGCACACACGGTGGCGACGACGGCGGAAGACGATACGACGAACGACGACGATACCGTTTTACGGCGATCATTCACTGGACGGCCGCACGGGACGCTCACACGCGCACCGACGTATACCTACAATAGTAATATAATATATATTATTATTATTTCGTACTACAATATTATTATCCTGCACTACGTCGTCCTTACCCGCTGTACGTCTATAGGTATACCAACAACGTTCGCGAAAAAAACCCTCGTAAAACCGGCAATATGGCGAAACTGTGTTCGGAAAACGGCACTGCACTGTACAACGCTATAGTCACCGCGGCGATTGCGATAGTGGCGATTCGATCGGAATGAGTGGAATGCGGCCCGCGCTCCCGTGGTGCAGCGTGTCGGCGGCGGCGGCGGCGGTGTGTCGTCACTACTCGTCGGCAGCCGTGAACGGGCCCCACTACCACCGCGCACCGCCGCTGCCCTTATTGAAACTCTACTACTACTACTACTACTACTACTACTACTACTACTACCAGTTACTACTCCTAATACTACTATTACTACTACCACTGCAACACCATTGATCAATGCCTACTACGATGCGTGTACGACACCTCGTAAAGAAGCGGATTCGCTATATAGAAGCGATAAAGAGCGTGTATGTAGCGCATTTTACCGTTTTTATCCAATCGGAGACGAGAACGCAATTATGTGTCGTACTATTATTATATAGGTAGGTACATTTTTTATTTTGTTATCGGTGCTTACCTATAGAAAAAAAAAATAAGTTATAAACATTTTAAATGCATTCGATAATGAACGTCGTCGTTGTATATTCTGGAGAACGCGTCAGACATTGTTTGTAAACAATGTAGCTTATTAATATAGCTTTTAGCTGTTTTTCGTTTCGACCAATCGGATTGATAAACGACATTAAATAATAACATTATATTCTCCGAAAATAAAACAAAGACAAACAAACAAATGTTTAATATTATTATGTTCTTACCTATCTATTGTATTTTAAATAAAATAATAATGATGTATGAGGTATGTTATACACAATAATATCGATTTTTGTGTTAAAACCCACAGATAAACAAAATGTTTATTTTTATTGATATTATCTGTTGGAGAAAATTAAAATTGACAATTTTTATCAATAGTTCATGGAATCGTTTTAGTCTTATTGATTAACGGTAAAAACGCTAAAAGTTTACACTCAAACCTTCTTTACTCGCTACTTCTACTGCTCACTATACCTACTTATATACCCGCAACCCACTACTTAGACTTATTCTTCGTCTCCTGACTTCGAGAAGGTTTCCGAAGTTACGAGGTACGCGATGGCAGTCACCGCCAGCTGAGTAACGGCCGTTATATCTTTTTTATATCAAACAATCGAATATATCAATATTTTTTTTTCATATCTCTTTCGGACATTATTAACTTTTTGTTTCGTTTCCGACCATTACGTCGTTCATTAATGCGTCGTTAGTGACGTACCACTTCGTCGCCTGTTAGAGAGGACGACGATGGTGCTATAAACCTATCACAACGGTATATTAGATTATTATGACTGCGTAGTTTACTAGAGACGTGGCCCACACTCCCACCCCCAAAAAGTATACATACGTTGCTGATAGTAATTCAAAACCGGTACCAATTCGCGTCGTAATCGATTTAGACACTAGTTGCAACTTTAAATATTATGAATTGTGCAGAATAAATGTTCTGCATTTACGAGGTCGTTTTCGAAATGATATTCTATATATTATAGTGCACCTATCAGTTTTATGGGAGTCAATAAACAAATAACAATAATAATTAATGTCCAATGTCCTTACTAGATTAGTGATTATAGATAAAGATATTTGAACGAGCAGATCGACACAGTTACAATAATTTGTTATATGTACAGAGCTACTGTAGTACTGCTATGGATATTCTGCAAGTAGTCCTGAAAGCGACTTAAAAAAGATAAAATATGATATACAAATATACCTACTACGATTAAAGATTTTTAATCTTGACACCTACTTATTCCGGGATGCCAGTACGTGTGCTTCCCTTTTTTTTTATTAACCCCCTAACCTATAACCTGACCCTTTGTTTTGTTTTTAAAAAAATTTTAACAATATGTACTGATAATAACCTTGGGCATAAGTTGTATGTATACGAGCAGTATTGAGATTGAATTAAACTCAAACACGAGCACGTACATTAAACACATTTTTTTTTTAATCAATTGAGTTAGTGAATTATTAACGATAATAATTTACATAGGTATACTATTTTTTTTTTATGCAATCAATTATTATAATTAAAATTGTCTGCTATCATAATAAATACAAATTTGTGTATTTGTAAAAATAAAGACAGATAATTATTATCAGCTGATATACTTTAGTTTATAGTTGTTATCATTGTAAATAAAAAAAAAAGTAAAATACAGACTACAAATTTACACAAGTAGAGATGATTCAGTGACTGATCTTAGAACGTTATAGGGAGAATCAGATGCAACAATAAGATGCAACAAGCCATTATTTTATTAATACCGTATGTAACTAAAATCAAAAATAACTAATTATTAATAGTTAAAAAATCAATATTGTATCAATATTACTTATGTTTTATTCAATTAAAAATAAAAATTGCTATACAAATCGTTGGAAAGAGCAATCATATAATTAAAATAAAATATAACGTTTTAATTTGTCTTCTTTAGTCTCGAAAAATTACTCGTCTAAACTCAAACGTACCTATATAGGTACCAATCGTCGTGTTAAACTGTCTATGTATCTATTATAATAATTGCCTGTGTTTTTATGAATTGAAATTGTTAAGCATTTTTATTGTTGCTGCCCTATAAAAAGTTTCGTTTTGTCGGTAATCTAAAATTATAATATTTTAACGATGATATGTTTTTAATTTATTTCGATTTTAATAATTATACCAGCAAGGCAGCCGCATTACATACAAGTACTTAAAACGTTTCATACTTCATCGTGTCGTCTTAAAATTCAGACGTTTTGATTGACTGGACTTTTAGTTATCTATATATATTTCATTAATTATGTTACCACCGAATTGAAAATATTTCAACTCAACGGACGTCTGGTTATAATGGTTACATGGCTATCACATAGTGTTAAAAAAAAAGTTTTTAATAATAATTCTGTATTATCGGTAATATATTTTTTTAAAAAGATTAACAATACATTTATTTATTTTATTTATTGATTTGACTTTAATATTATTCATGGAATAGACAATAATATTATTAGAAATTACTTCTCAAAAATTTTTTAGGTGTCATTCATTATTTATTACAGTAGATTAACAAGAATATACGGTGCTGATCTTATAAATACTCGTATTACCCTATAAATATTATAATATTTATTGTAGGTATAGACAATGTTATAAAGTTATTAGATAATATCATTTTGTAACAGTTAATTTATAAATGCAATTATTTTAGTTTAATTAATGTACTTTAAGGTAAAACACATTATAAATACTTATATTATTATCAAAATACTTTCACTTTATTTTTCTGTGTCATAAAATACGAATCAGAAATTCAAAATACCAAATATTGAATTTAAAAATATAAAACACAGATTGCTTTATTTTAATATAGCTTATCTAAAGTAACCACTAACTATAAGAAACCAAGTTCAACCAGCTTAACTAAGGTCACGTGAACAGTAGACTGTATGATGCTCATTTTGGACGACAAGATATAGTGTGAAGGCACCTATATATAACCAGATTAAAGCCGTATTGGTATTTATTTATTGAAATACTAAACGGGTTTAGATCTAATTACATACAGTGTATATTATTAGTATATTAAACAAACAGTATTTTTAAAATATATAACTAATTTAACAGAAATAAAAATTAGTATAATTTGTGTAATTTTAGGTAACCAATGTAGAAAACAAATTAGATTTTTGAATGATTTTAAATTAGTGATAAGAAATTGAACAAAAAGGATATATTTTATAAATATTCATAATTTTCATAATTCGTGAAAGTATTATGTATTGAAGCATAAACAGTAGATACAGATGGTATTAAATAGGTTTATTCAAAGGGACTGTGTTTGTTTTTAGATAATTCTCCTGTATATGAAAGCCACTATACCTACCTATTTACCTACACAAGTTATTTTTACATATGTACCTATACTATACTATACTATGTAAATCATTCATCTTGATTGGTATTTATGTATCTTGATTATCCGTATTTAAGATTCGCCAATTTTCTGTAATACTTTTCTAGAAATTAAATCACAATTATTGTTAGTTGGAAGTGACAGAAATGTGCAAAGATTCTTACTTCTTAGTATCACGAAGAAGTTAAGTTAAGTTAAGAAGTTAGTTTTACAAATATGTTTTGTCTTCCATAGGAAATGCTTTTATGGTTAGTAAAAATACTCCGATATTTTAATGCCGTACGTCTACATTCCTTCCAAGTCTTTCCTCCACGATATGTATGTAGGGGAAGGGCTTAACACCCGTGTCTATGTTATTTTGTTTTTACTCTTCCACCAGTGTTTAAAACGGAAAATTTAACGAACTATAACGACCAATAGTCGTCACACAGTGGGACAAAAAGCTAACCTGGTGATCCAAAATCCGTTGCGTGAATTTTCTCCAAAATTTCTGACATCGTAATATTATAATATAATTTGTATATCTACCTTATTGATTTTGATATGAGGTTTTACTGTACTGTTCCGTGTGATTGATGCAAATGTATGCGTTCAATAACTTATAACATTATTTTACTGTAAATACATTATTTAAATTTTAAATGGAGATTGACTATATAGGTAAGCCATAGAATACATATAATTTTCTAAAATTATCTATGTCTATTTTTGGATGTTAACGTTTGGTATCTTTTTTTATCATATATAATAAAAAAAAAAGATAAAATACATACGTTTTGGAATTAAATGTAACTTGAAAATGTTAGTTAATAAATGCATTAGTAAATTTTTATTTATTTATTTATTCAACTCAACAAAGGTAATGAAATATAAACATGAGTATGACATAATACATGAGTTGATTACCCCTCTATATAAGCAAGCTTGTGGTGAGAGGGGGTCTCCTAACATATATAATATATATTATATATAAAAATAAAAACAAAGCAAATTTATTTATTTAAATATTACAAAAACCAGTAAATAACAACATGATGACAAAACATTACAATTAATTAGAATATTAACAAATAACAAAATTTCTGGTAATAATTAATAATTGCTCTTTTAAAATATAATTTGTTTAACCTTAGACTTAAATATTTTTTATTGAACTCTATAGGAAGTTTATTAAATATTAATATGGCTCTATAAACGTAATAATTCTGATAAGT